AAATTTAGTAAAATTAACAGAACCTTCTCATTCCATTTTCAGAAATGATGTTGAGCCTGATTTACTTAATTAATTTATATTAAGCACTGATACAGCCGTATTCAATCTCACATATTTAATTGCAATTGCACGACTTGCCAAAGAATAAATTTTAGAAGACAAGAAAAAAATCCATAAGACAAAACGTCTCAAGCTACATGCACGTTTTTAGCTAAAGAAATCATCAAAATTATATTAATTTTTCTTTGAAAATTGTTTCAATTTTGACACGAAAAGTAATACCCATGAGTGCAACAAATTAATTGAGCGGTATAGAGCTGCCATCTGTTTTTTCTCAAGTAATTTTTTTTTACTTTCCCTAACCTAATTGGAATCGATTAGAGGGAAAAGCCTTTTGCAGATTATTGTGTGACGAGAAATTAGCCTCGTTCCAGCAGCTCAACGGAGCGTTTCGTGCGTTGCTGCCAGGCCAGAGCGGCCCTTGCACTGTGCGTCTGAATTAGATACACTCACACCGGGGCTTCAAATGCGCGTCCTGCCTTCACGCAATCACACTTTTTGCTCCATTTGCGACCCAGGCTGGCCGACAACAGTCGACGTTGCCGTCAGCCGGGAGAGACACGAAATTGGTTTATGTTTTGTCTTTTGTTTCACCTCCCGAGTGTCATGTCTGTTTATCAGCGTAATATCTTTTTGACATCTTTCAGCCGCAATCGTCTGGACAAAAGTGAATACAAACCCTTTTCTGACAAGATAGCAAAAAATAACACACAGAAATGAAAATATAAAAAATAAAGAGTTGAGAGGAAAAACTCGTCCTTCTCGAATTAGGGCAGCGACCATTTTACGCCAGTGTGAACATGGAATCTGCGCCACGATAACATTATTGCTGTAGTCATGTCGGAACAATCGTCATTTCACTCTGCAATTTGGCAACGATCTTGTTCCGACCGAGGCCAAAAAGCCGGTCTGATTATAAAACTAGCAGTTTGTTTTTTTCACGAGTTTGGCTCGGAGCGAGCGAATTCCGAAGTTCAGCCGGCGAACGGGAGCACGACCCTTGACCTATTTGAATGCGTGACCAGATGAAGCGGCTCGGATAAGCCAAGTGTGAACATTCGTCTTGGGATAGGGGTGTGATTTATCGGCAGGTCGGCGCACGTTTCGGATCTTTCTTCTGGCCTTTGAGCACCGGTTTAAATAAATTAAATTTATGGCACCAAAAGGCAGAAGTTTTACCAGCAAACATTAATTAAAGGTTCGATCGATTTCGTTCGACCTCCGTCAAAATCCAATTGAAATAAGTGGCTCGCCGAGTGCGAATTGGGTTTTTGTCCCCTGGGTTTGAGTTGATTAATTGATTTTCGTGGGCGGAATTACTCTACGCTCGTCCTCATCGTCCACAAAATGTTGGTTTAGGACGTCAGAGTTTTTGCGTTTCTCATCAGCTATGGCAACTAAATATTTAATCAAATTCATAATATTAGTCCAGGACTAAAAACATAAGACTAATTAAATTGTCCACTTTTGAATAAATAGTAGAAATATTCCAATGTTCTAAAAAATGTTAAAGAAAAGTCTAATTTTGTAATTTAAAACAAACGCTTGAAATTTGTGTTTTTATTTAGTTTGAACGTGAAAATTAAAATTTGGTAGTCCAAAAATATTCAACTTGGTCTCAAATATTTTGAATCTGATATAAAACCGGAGCTAACAACTTGGGACTAAATTAAATGACCTGGATTTGAGCAAATATCATATATTTTTAGGCCATCTCAAAATGTTTCAACAAATTCTAATTTGCATTTAAAAGAAAATCTCGGATGCAAATTAGGTCTGATATATTATCCGGTGAGAGTCTTGAATCATAAATTCCACTCTCATTCTCTTTGTGAAATTGGGCGCGCCTCATAAAGCTCGCGGGGCGAAAAGGAAAAATGGATGATGCACGAACGAACCAAAACAAATTCCTCGACTAATGTCAGACGAGCCGACTCAAATGGGGGGCTGCAGGCCGAGAATTAATCACGTGAAGTGGAACACACAAAGCCCGTGCAGACCCGCTCCCCCAATCATGCAATCCTCGCGAGGAGAGGAGAACAGAAAGAGAAAAAAAGAAGAGCTCTGGACTACACAGACCTTGAAATTCAAATGTATGCAACCAGTTGGTCTGTCGTGTCGAGCACGTTGCATTCAAACGACTCGAGTTAGAATTGAGAATAATGTTAATTTCTGCTTTGTTATTCAAACAAAAATTTTATATTTAGAATTACCCGTTTTCCCATTAGAAAATTTCTTTTGAAAATAAATTATTTTGGTGCAAAACAAACGAAAAAAGGATATTTTCCTTTTGAGTCCCTTGGGAGTACAACTGAGCGCAAAATTTTAATTTCATCCTACATCTGGGACCCATTGAGGCTGCAAAAGTGGAGCCCATTGCAAACTTTGTTCTGGCCAAATCCACCGAAATTAGCATGCAGCGGCGAATTTGAGTCGATCGGCCGAGTCTCTGCGGCGGAGGAAGCGACTCTTTAAAGGAGGATTTTAGCGTCAGAGTGTATTGTTTAGTGCTGGCCCGGAGTGATAAATAAATGCGTAAAAGGTCCCAACGGCCGCCGCCACCGCCGGCGAAATGGCTACTGCAGCCAGCCGCCAGTCTATGCTGAACATAATGTCTCCCTAATGTCCTCATAGTGCAAATGTACATAAAACGGAGAGGCGTCAATGGCGCCTATTTTGCACGGCTCAATGATGTAATTTGGGCTTGGTTTGAAATCCAATTATTTACAACAAATAAATCAAGAAAATAATAATAGCTTTTCAAGTCACTAATTTGATGAACGCTTGGAATTTTGTATGTTGATTGAGCTATAATATAACACAATAATTTTGTATTTAATTAAAATAAATGATTTTATATCGACGATTTAATAATTTTCTAAAGTATTTATAAAAAGATTTAAAAATATTGTAAAACCAATCAAAAAGATTTTATTCTGAAATTCAATTTTGTCATGTCTTAAAAAGGGGCAATGAAATGTTAAAGGGTTTTTTCCTGAAAAACGTAATCCTTTTTCTAAGCAAAGTGGCAAATTGCAAGTCCCGGCCAACCTGAAAAACCTTTTTAAAAAAATCCTAGACACGTACATCATTCTGGAAATTTTTAATCACCTTCTGCACCAAATGCCATTTTTAAAGCGGAAAGAGAATCTCTATTTATCGAATAATTTCAGAAATAATGTCGATTGGAAAGTAGAAAAATGCACTACATCGGTTGAAGTTTGAATATATAAATCCAAAGAATGTGCCCATTCATAACTTTTAATTTTTTTTACACATAAAAAAATACTTTCTTATGTCATAACATTATTCACTAAACCTGTCAATTTTTCAACGCTGAATGGAAAAATTGAGGTCAAGCAACTGTACTATTTTAGTTAGTAATAAGCGTCGATTCCATTTTGATCAAAAATTGATACCAACTTGAGAGAGCGGGGCCGATTGATTGCTTGTTGTGCAAGACACCTCACATCGCCGCACACAATTTATTGCTCTCCCGATCGAACCAATCAATCATTCCGCGGTGGCAACAATTTTTCCCCTTTTTTTCATATACACGTATGTAATTCCCATTCCGGAGGAGAGGAATAAGTTGATGGCAATTTAAGAAGAGCAGTTTTATCTTTGTGCCAGCGACGAGACCATTTATCACGGTGAATTGAGCGACTCGGTATTGTTTGCCCCAGGTCTGGCTGATTCTCACAGGCACACGTATTTTTACCCGCCGTGTTTCGTTCGCTCTGTTTTTTTCTCTGCCTGCTTTTTTAGATCAATTTTCCCTGGGGAAAACGGCAATTTTCCGTATGACAAGGCAATGTTAGTTACAGAGCGAGAAATGCAGGGAAATTATTATATAAACGGCGAAGTTCTTGTGATTGATTATTTTTTAATGTCATTACTATCGAGTGCAGTTGGTAGTATCAACAGTTTGGATCATCTGCCCCCCTTTCCACTCATCTCTATTTAGTTTGTAAAATCCGTCTATTTTTTTCACAAATTGAAAGATTTTTAAAACATTTAGAAATATGAGACATTAAAATTAATTGAATTACTGAAAGACAAAATGTTAAAAATAAATTTCTACTAAAATAGTCTTTGGTGTGTGAAGAGGTTTTTTTGACCAGAAAGAAAGATGTCACAAGTGTGAATTTTCATTTTTATTTGTCAGAATTTTATTATTATTATTATTTTCTGAATTATTGAATGCCTTAAATTTGAATCCGCAACAATTCAAATCAATATTAAACATTTTATTTTAATTGTAAATTTTCCTTTAACTAATTAATTAAGCAAACACTAAATTTTGAATTCAATTTGTCTTTTAAAGGACAAACCCGGCAACTCTCTTATTTAAATGCCGCAATCTGCATTAGAAATTGATTTTTGTCATGAAATTGAACCTTTTTCTCAACGCACAATCAAGGATAGAGTCTCCAACATAAAGTTATATTTAAAAAAAATATAAATCGAAACAATCAAATTTCAATAGAAAGCTTTTATTGAAAAAGGATTTCACGCAAAATTGAATCTGGGCTTAATCTCGTTGAGGGTTTTTCATTATTTTCACATTGGGGCTTAGCTCGCGTGGATTTAACTTTTCTTAATCGTGTCGTTTTAATCAAATATATTTTTCGCATATTTTTTCAGGAAAAGAAAATTAAATTACAAAGTTTTGATCACGGCTCCTGGTTGGATTCAATATAGTCTTGTAATGAGGTAAACCAGGTGAACTTAAAACTTTATAAGCTAAAATCATTGTAATCCTAGAAGTAAAAAACCCCACCACTAACAAATCAAATATATTAATGAAAAAAAAGATTTCTTATTCAAACAGATTTAAATTGTTTGAATTAAAATTAATAAATAAGATTACTTTGAATCGCACGAGCCAAAAATTGTTGCAGTTTTCCTGATTGAAAAAGAAAAGGTTTTGGACTCACCAAAAGAAGCTTGCTGGGCTTTCCGAAGAAATCCAAATCGGTGTGCATTGGTCAGGTGAGAAAGTTGACCGCGGTTAAAAAAGCACCCGAAACGCTCACTAGCCGCCGTTGGAGCAGCGAAATAAAAATTTCAACAGATATTGTCGTGTTCCACTTGTTAACCGGGCATCACTGCAATCCCATCACCGGGGAACACACTGGGCTTTTGCTGGTGCTGCTGGTGCTGCTGCTGGACCGTCGCTCTGTTTCTCAGCTGCAGAAGCTTGTTGAGTCCATGTAGTATCCGCGTCGGCCGCGTCGGCGGTGCTCACTTTTGCGCGGTGCTCGCTGCACTGAAACTGCCTTCCGCTGCTGGTGGTTGGCTCGGTCGCCTAAAGACCCTTTGCTTGGTATCAACCATTATAGGAGAGGGCGCATCGACCCAGTATCGCAGCGAACGGGTGCCAGCACGCGTTTTCCACGGGGGCTCGTGCGCAGAAAACCTACAATTCCTTTAAATATTTCTGCAGAATTATTAATTTACTTTGAAAATATTTTTATCCTCTGTGATTTATCAGCTTTGATGAAAATAAATACCAATAAATACTATACCATACCTTCAATTCTTTCTGGCTGTGGCTTCATTTGTCCTCATTATTAATTTTTTTTTTAATTAGTGCTGCATTTTTAGCTTATATAGAATATTTTTTCCCTAAATATGCATGTAAAAGTCATTAGTTTCTTGATATGTTAATTAGGCAATTAATTTTAAACAATATTACTTTTAATTCAAACACAAATCATAGCATAATATAATATTCATATGTTTATTACATTTGTTAACTTTTACAAATGCATTGACTTTTATACGTCTTAAAATAGCACCAAAATTTTATGACATTGATTACATTTGGAAAAAATCCACACTATGATGATTCAAAACTGAAATTCAAGTTTATATAACTTGAAATATTTTAATTCAAATATAAAAAGACTGTTAATCATATCAAGACTTGAGAGTAATTTCTAATCTCATTTTTTTTTCTTTAATCCGGTACAAAATTTAATCTCATCTGTGTAAATTGTGTCATTCTATTTCATATGCATAAGTGGAAAATTTTTTACTTCTGCAATTATTCCGGACTTAATTTTTATCTCACAAAAAATTAGCTTCTAGCTTCTTCAGCTGCACCTACTAATGATCTACTTTCACCTGCTTTAATGAGATTTAAGATGCAAATTTCAGCCCGCTTCTTGTAACTTGCAACAGCCCCCAGCCAGACCCTCATTAGACAATCAAATTCGGCACGCAGTCTGGCGGTTGACGAATCAGAAAACTTGCGTCTGACCAGCGCCAAATTTCACCCTCCGTTAACCCCAATTAAAGTTTAATCAGCTCTCGAGATATACGCGCGTCGAGTGTTCTTGGGGGAGAAAATTGCTCGGGATTCCAGGTCAAGAATTTGCAGGCGCCGCCGCCGCGTGTGCAACTTCTCGACTTTGTTGCTCGCGTCTCGAGAGACCATTACCTCACTTCTGCAGATGGAAATTGTTGTTGCTTTTGACACTGCAACGCTCTCATGATTTATTTATTCTTCTGAAGAGATGAAAGAAAGAGACACGCTACACGTGGATGCGATTGTCATCTTTTGAATTCCCTGCTCCTTTGATCCATGGGGAGCTAGAAAATTGACTTGGCGGCCAAAAAATAGCAAAACAATAATTTAGGTAAATTTGTAGATTGTGCTTTGTAGATGGTTTTTCTTTCAATTTAAAATCAACAATTCAACAAATGAAAAGAAATATTTGTTGAATTACTTAAAATTTAGCAACTGTACAAAATTTCAGCACTTGAAAAAACTCAATCGTAAGAAAAAAACGTTTTATAAGGCAACAGACTTTAGCAATAATTGTTATATATATTTTTTAATTTAATTCGTTTTTTCTATGGCCAAACACTGCATTTTCTTAAAAATAAAACAAAATTATGTAAGTAAAATAAATTTTAAACCTTTCCCACTAGCTAAATAACTTTCCAACAAGAAAGTGGATCAAGCTAATTTATATTAATCTCCAATGAATCAGCAAAGGAGGGTATACATGGTATAATATAATAATATTACAGAGTTCACATCCATGATCTGGAGAAAAGCTGAATTCTGTGTAATAACAATAAAGAATGCCATCGGATTGTGTTTGTTGTGGTTCAGGTATAAGAACACGCGGTGGGCAAACACCAAGAATAAATATTGGGCCCCTTCGGTCGCATTCGGGCGTATCTGTCATTATTATTTGATTAGGAATTATTGAACGGCGGGTGAGTGTGGGTTATGCTTTTTCTCTCTCTCCGAGCCACTCACTCACTCGGGTCGCTCGCTCCCAACTGTGCCGCCCATTGTTTTGTTTGCCATTATGACGAGTTACCATGGAAATAATGTATGCTTGTCGCACATTCACAAAATACTTTGGCCGAATAATGCGACTAAAGCTACGCTCCATGCATATTTGAATCGGCGGCGCGTACATCAACACAAAACAAGTGCGACGAGTATTCCTGCAGCCTCAGGCAGTTGCGAATGCTCCACATAGAATTTGCTTAAAATCACTCATTATCGACACAAGCTAATTTGTTGTAATTATTGACATATTGATTAGCTAATAATAATAAAATAATAGGAGTTTGATTTTAATTTTAGAAAATAAAAGTGTACAAACAATTTTTATTACTGTAGCAACAAAAAAGCATAAAATGAAGACAACATCAAAACATGGATTGAAGTTATACAAACTGACTGTGGAATTTTTTTAAAATTTCGGTTTTTGTTTTTAAATATAAATGAACACAATTTTGTAACTGTCAAGAAATTTGTAATTCCTTTCTTATTGTTTTTTGCCGCTAAAGAATAAATAAATAAATTTACTGTTTTATATACAAGAGTATAGAAATTTTTACTTAAATAATTATCAAAAAGTCCTAATAAACTTTCAAATATCACGAATAAATCTAAAATTTTACTTTTCATGGCATTTTTTATTTTTTCTACAGCAAGAAATTCAATTTTAATCAATTAAGTTTACTAAATGTGCAACAATTATTTGTATGTTTTATGTAAACAGATAGACTGAGACACGACTGTTTTGTTTGCCCTTCAACCCTGTTTTTCCTTCCTTAATCTCTACGTACCCGCTGTTTTTTACGACAAAGAGTCAGTGGCGCTAGAAGTGCTATTATTAAATTTTGAGTGTGTTTATAAATATTTGAATCTTGACATCATCATAATGCGGAAAGAAGGTATAGAAAGTGGCGCGCCGGCAATTCCATAAATTCCACTTAAAGCCCACCTGCAAATAAAAAGCGGCCGTTTCTCATTTCTCTGCACCAAAAATAGCGCGGCTGCTCAAATATTAATCGGCCCGAGACAGAGCTTCCTTTTCTGCCTATTTTTCTAGTGTCATTTCATTTCCTAGGCAAAATGCCGCTGCAGCCGAGACGCGTATGAATAATTCACGTGCGCCTCTCTTGGCGGTGCGAAAAACGAAAAAAGATGAAACATCCCAAACGCCCGGGTGTGTTATTATTTTGTAGCACTGCTGCAGCCACAGAGCAACAAAGCATTCGCTTCACCGTTAAAAATTCATCCCGAGAGCCCAACCGAGCGCCAAACAAAGGGACAGACAATTGATCTCGGTAAACAAGTGACCTGTTTGAAACTACACTGGAGCTAGCTATGGTGACGCCACCTGAATGAATGAGTTTATGACGACCGATGCGGACAGTGCAAAACCCTAGATACTGAAATTATGTAAAGGTTATGCAATCAAGTACAATGATTTCTTTTATACATAAATTTGAATTAGAGAAATTGATATTTTAGAATTTTTTTTATTACAAAAATGAAATATTATTTATCAATTCATATATGTGAAATAAAACATTTAATATAATTGAAATATATGTTAAAAAATGTATGATACCATTTAAATTAATTTAAATAAAATAAAGTTAAATTTTTTTTACATTTTTTTTGTCATTTTAATTTTTTTTTCATTTTTTTTTTTAAATAATTTGATTTTAAATTAATTATCATAATCTACATCAATTATGTTTTTAAAGCTAGTAAATTTTAATATTTTTATTTAGTATAGTATAAATTAAACAAATCTGCGCCAGTATACAGTACATTAGTATATATTATATAAAAATGGCATAAGAAGGGAGAATGTCACTAATGTCAGATATATATTTTCTTTCATGATTAATTTTTTTCAAATAATGTAATTTCTAATTCAAAAATCGTCGGCAGTCATTAAGTTGTAGGCAGGATAAAGTGAAGTGAAATTAATTTTAAAGATTTCATTACATTATTATCCTTGAAATTTTGTAAAGCCAATAATTAATTTATTATGTGACTATCAATCTTCATACAAATTTTTTATCAACTGCATATGAAGCAAACTATAACCTTTTATGAAATAAAATGCTAATTAAAATTTTGATATTTCTTCAATGTTACAAATTTTTACAGGTATTGAAAAAATTTTAAATAAGAATTTTCCTGAAACTTTCCGATCCACTCTCACCCCATCCACCGCAGTGAGCCTTTTGGTGACTCCTTATTTTGTTAAATAAAGCCTGTAAATTATTTTAATATTAACCGACAGTTGAAGTTATTATTTGATAGCAATTATATTTTTCCTCACTTTATATATTAATAAGTTTAAAAATTAAATTACATTTCATTCACCGACTAAAAAAATATTGGAAATTAATCATCGTTATAATAATCCAGATAATTGTGTTTGTATCAACAAATAACCTCGTTTATTCAGATTCACAATCAGACTTGGACTAGTACAAACTAGAAATTGAGCATTGCACGACACGCATCAATAATAAATTTTCCCCAATTATGACGCCCCTCAATCAGATTGGCTACTTGGCCTCAAAAACTGCGTTATATGCCAAAGGTGAGATGATCTGCTGAGATAATAATTGGCGCCAATTACGCGGCCTAATTAAACAGCGATTTGATTCTCTCCAGAACAACCGTCGGCGTTGTTGTGTTTGGTTGCGCTAGGCCGTGTAGGGCAACCGACGTTGGTTCGTTCCTACCTACGCGTGCAGATCGACGAATAAGATGGGGTCACCCCGGCCGCCGCCGACTCTTTTCACTTTTAAGGTCAGCGGCGCGCAACTCGCGGGTCGCTCGGGGTGCACTTCCACCACCAACATAGTATACGAGAGAGTCGCCACCGAGCGCGAGTTCGGTCAACATGATTAATGAGCACTCGTGACCCAGCTATCAAGAAATACTCGACTTTATTTCCAAGTGAGATTCATTGTACACTAATGTGTTGACAAAATAGAACAAAATTAAAAATATAAGACAGAGGCTTTTTTAAAATAATATTAAAAACAATTTTTTTTTTTTTTTTACAAACAAAAACTCCTGTATAAGTTACAAGAAAAATATGGGAATCTCCAACAACAGAATCTCTAAGATTAACATTTTAATGGCATTTCTGCAAAAAAAGTCTGATAATTCAAGTTAGAATAAATTATCAATTCGAAATTTGACGCATATTCCTGAAAAGGAGCTCAAGAAACGTAAAATTTCAATTTGAAAATTAAAACTGTATTTGGAAAGCTCACTGAACAACTTAAACACAACAACAGCTCTGCACCCAAAAATTTGCAAAACAATCGCACATAATTAACATATCATAAAAAATTATCACTTCAGCTCATAAAAAAAAGATATTGAAAATGCTTCTCGTGGAATTTATTTTTTGTGAGTACTTAAAAAAAAACATTTTAATTACTAATTAACTTCTAATTTATTTATAAGTTGTTGCTTTGTATTGCACGCATGTATTCACATTTAGGCTGAAGTAGCCCAACAGCATCATCAAAGCAAATGCACCGCGGCCATAACCCGAAGTGACGCTAACGCGCTCTCGCGAAATTAGATTTAATTCCGCTCCGATGCAAATGTGAGCCCTGCTTCTCTCTTCCACAAACTGCATTATCTGACTGAGTCCCGTTGCTTTTATGGAGCACTTGCAAGGGAGGATGTTTGCCTTGCTGCGTGATGATGATGAATTCTAACATAAATTAGAGCACCGACGGCGGTGGTGGCACAGGCATTTGGCGCTTTGATGTATCCTCTGTGCCACACAAATATGTACCCACGTTCTGATAACATCATACAGCAGAATGATTACTATTGACAAACAAACTGAAGAGCCACACTGGATGTGTTTGACATTATTTGACCACTGGTAGGTGAGCTCTCTGAATTAGTGTGTGCAGTTGCGTTAGTATGATTAAATGTTGGCGAATTTCTGAGGAATAATTTCTAAGATAGTGTTTAAAAAGAGATATTCTTAGAAATAACTTCGGATTTTTTTAAATAAGTTCATTTAATATTTCAACAGGTTGATAAAAAAAATAATAGTCAAGAGTTTTTATAAATTTAAAATAAATCTCAAATTATTCATAAAAAATTCTGGCACTCTGATGATTTAAACTTTTTTTGCACACTTAAATCAAATTAACGAGCCCTAACTAAATAATTAAATTAAATTTAAATAATAATATAATATATTATTATTTTCAAGAAAAATTTAAAAAATAAATTTTCTACTCGGAATTTATGTCAATTTACGTCTCGTTGAGAACACACAAAAAAAACTTGCTGCCTTTCATGTCATTAGCGTGCAGAGAAGTAGCTCAATATTTTTGTTTGCTCCACTTGAATAAATTATATTTAGGTAACAAATTTGATGTTATCCAAGACGCAGTTTGCTTAATAAATATGCAGTGCCACAAGCTAGCAAGCCAAGTTTGTTTTGTTTTAGGGGGTGGCATAGCTTCTTGCTTGTGCATAGCGTGTGTTTTATCTCTCTTGTCCCCCGTGGTGACCAACACGCGTTCGGACTTGGGTAAGGGTCAGCAAAATCACTTTACCGCTAATTACACAGGCGGGGAGACACTCCTGGCTGAAATCTGAATTTTTTTATTGATACTTTAAAAATTCCCTAAAATGTTTTACTTATTCCGATTAATAAAATTTAAAGATAATTATATAATATATTAAATTTCTTCCATCCGTGAACAAAATTTGAAAGGAATTTCCCAGGAGCCCGTTTTTTACATCAAAATAAAAAAAGGAAGTAAAAATTTAAACGTTTATTTGAATGTCTTTGAACTCCCGACCCAGATTCAAAACTAATCCAAGGCGTATGTGCTGGAAATATATAAATAAGGAAAACTAACTCTCGACCATGCCTTTCAGCACTAAAGGGGGTTCGGTGTTTGTATGTACGAAAGAGGAGATTGCAGTTTTCCCTAATAGGCTCTCGACACTGGCTCCGCATTTTGGTGCCCACCAGAGAATACAATACACGAGTAAACAAAGTGGACCGGGCATGTTAAACAATCAGGGCGGCAAGCACGGCCAACAGCGCAAAACACCATCAATAAAACACACTAACGCTTGCCGGCCCCCGTTGCCGCCGAGGAAAGAAAGAAAAGGGGTTGCAAATTTGCTTCCACACACATTCGCAGCAAGCGGAGCCGCGCTAATTGGTCTTCCCTCTCGCTCTTCTCTCCTGAAATATATCTCGACGGCGTTGCAAGAGAAAGACCAAAAAGGCCTTGGTGTGCTAATTAATTTAAAGCTTCACGCTAATTGGGGCGTTAAGTGTAGTGAATTTTTCTCTCGTCAGACTCGGGCGATATTGAGATTCGCGATAAATTAATTAGAGAGAGAGAGATCCTCTCACTTGATCAATTTTAACTTAATCCAGACGGCACAAAAGCGGAATTATTGCTGTCTCATGGATTGTGATGATTATAAACAAGATAAATTTTATTCATTTTTTTTTTATTCACAGTTTAATATTTCAAATGGAAATTTAATATTTATAAATAATAAGCTGAGATTTTCAACCAAGAAATTGGCAATGTTCTCTATTTATTTCATATTCATGCCTGTTTTCCCGTTTTAATGCAATCTTAAAATTTAAAAAAAATTAAAACAATAAAGAAGCAAATAATTATTTGCTTAGGTTGAAATTATAACAATAACGAGAAAAGCAAAATGCTCTTGCCTATTTCCATAATCCGTTAAAGGAGCGGCATAAAGTTTTAATTGCCTTTTGCTTTCGAAAGAATAGTTTCTGCACAGGTAAGCCATTCTTAATCCCCAAGGTTCTGCATGTGTTTGTCCCCAGAGGTTGTAGACCATAAAAATAATCTGCAAAAAGACCTAAGCACTCGAGCAATGTGACCCAATTTGCAGTGCGCGTGGCACTTTCCCTCTGTTTGCTACTAGGAAAAGCAGTTTGCACACATAATGCTGTTGGGGTGTGTGTGCATTTTAATGAGAGCACTAGAACGTTGTGCGCGCTAATTACGGCGCGTTGCTCTTTGGCACCTTTGCTTTGCTGTGGCTTTGGGGAGCTAAGTCTATATATTCACATACATAGAGAAAAAATAAACCTATATAATTGTGGAAATGGTTGGGAAAGTTTCAAATTTAATTTTTTTCCGCATTAGAAATGCGTTTCATTCTTTTATCTTAGAGGAATTTTTAATAAATAAATTACTACACCTAGCTTTTCCAATAAAGCGAAATTACTTTGTTAGTGACTTCGACAAGAATATACAATAAATGCTTTAAGAATTCTTCTCCTGCTCGTAAATCGCGACAACCGCCAGCAATTTTATCGATTTAATTGTGAAGCGCGCCGGGAAACAAAGCCGTTTGTTTGATGTAATGAATGTTGCGGCAAACTTTCCTCCTTTGCGTCCAGGCAGTTTCCCAGAACTGATCTCGCATCGCAGCTATCCATTATCCCCCTGTTAAGCATCACACACTATACTTCTACCGAGAACGCTCTACATAATTGAAACGCTGCTGATATATTCGCAATAACCACCCCGGGGCAGCAGCCCTTGTATAAATTTAAATCTGACAGCGTTTCTCGGAAGCAGTTTTCCTGCGGCTGTTTACCAAATAATTTTTCAGGTGTTGCCACATTCATATTTTAGAATGCACGCAGAGCACTCTGCTGCATGAACTTTATGATCTTGTTTTTTACTGTTCTACTGGCAGTAAAATATCAGCACAGGACGATAAAAACAAAAAGCAAATTATTGCCGCTGGAATATACAAAAGCATCCTTGAGCAAAACACGGTTTCCTAAAATTTAAAATAACTATAAATTTGTCTTTTCATTTACTTCCTTAATTTATTTACACACGTCATAAAATATTCAATCTAAAATAAACAACAAGGTGATAAATTTATATAGCCCGAAATATTTAGGAGTGAAAAAAATTTGTAATTCGCTTTTGTGGGCGATAAAAATGCGCTCGTGTCTTACACGAGTCGAACACTCAACAGTTACGTTCCGCCGTCGCTCTTTCGTCAAGCTGTCCTTTGCTAACTTTCTAATTGAATTGCCGCTGATGGCATTTCTTGGAAAGTTTGGTGCTGAACTAACTTTTTGAAAGCACCGTCGTCTATAGACATAAGTTGATCATAGCTTCCCTGCTCCACAACTCGACCACCTTGCAACACGGCAATGCTGTCTGCAATCACAAATCGCCACACACATTAACAACCTTTCCACTGCTTCAAAGATTTAAAAAAAAAAATTCCGGCCACAAAACTTACAAAAATAGTCATGTGTAAAGTTTTTGGAAATAACTTAAGTTTAATTTAATTAAACATGAATTACAAACCCATAGCGTTAAAATTTATATCAATTTATTAAAAGTTTATTATAATTTTTTTTTATCAATTACCTGCATTTCTTATTGTCGATAATCTGTGCGCAATTGTAAGTACAGTCCTGCCCTTCATAACTCTTTCAAGAGCCTCCTGAACTAAAGCTTCACTCTCTGCGTCCAGGGCACTAAAAGAAATTTGTTGAAAACAATGTAGAATTCTTTTTATTTGATGAAATACAATAATACCTTGTGGCTTCATCCAATAGTAAAACCCTTGGGTTTTTGACAATAGCCCTCGCAATCGCCAGTCTTTGTTTTTGGCCTCCGGACAAAGTAACTCCTCGTTCGCCCAACTCGGTGTCAAATCCCTGAGGTAAATTTTCAATGAAGCTCAAAGCGTTTGCTTCTTTTGCTGCTTCAATCAATCTTTTCTGTGAAAACACGATATTTAAAATTAGAACTATTTTCAAAGTGATTTTAATTTTACCTCCACTTGATCGGGTTGGCTTAAAAGTGAATCAGGCGCACCATATAAAATGTTATCTCGGACAGACCCCGAGAACAGAGCCGGATCCTGAGGAACCAATCCAACATGTGCCCTAAGCCACCTGGGGTCCAAGTCAAGCACATTTACTCCATCGAGCAGAACTTGACCCTGGTCTGCTTTGTAGAGAGACAAAAATAAGAGAGCCAGGGTTGATTTGCCAGAGCCACTCGCGCCCACCACAGCAGTCACTCTTCCAGCGGCCACTTCCAAATCGAGGTCACTCAACACATTGACCTCTGGCCTCGAAGGGTAGTTGAAACCGACCTTGCTGAAGGTGATTTTTCCGATGGGCACCTCTTGAGGCATCAAACCACCTAATTTAATTTAAAATGAATTTAAGTTTATTTGAATGGAAGCAAAGTTTTAAGTTTCACCTGATATTGGCAAAGCAGGTTCTCTATCCAAAATAGACCAAAGTCGGCCACTGGCCCCAAGTCCTCTGGCTAATTCAGAGTAAAACGAGCCCAGGCCTCCGACAGCAACTCCGACATAAGCTGCGTAGAGAAGAAAAGCGGAAAGAGAGCCAGGGGAGATTTCGTTGGCTGTGACCATCGTGCCTCCATAAAATAGGCCAAGAAGGATCACCACATTTCCACTGAAGCCAGTCTAATTATATAAAATAAAAGAATCAACTTTGAGATGGATAATTTATATATTTTCTTGTTTACCATTCCAAAGAAAATCCCCCTAGCCATTGATTCTCTCAGCGCAAGTTGGATTACTTTTTCCAATCTTAGCCTGTAACTTTCGATCTCTGCTACTTCTCTGCTGCTGCACTTGACTGTTCTTGCATTTGATATTCGCTCTTCGGCCAACTGAGATGCGTCTGCTAAGGCATCCTGTTAAGAAATAAGTTAAATTGGTACTTATGAGATCATAAAATTTTGTCACCTGCGTTTGTTTTGTAATTTTCTTTAAGTATCTTCCGTAAATAACTGCCATAGCAGCCATAGGCGGAACAACTCCCAATCCGACCAGTGCAAGTTTCGGGGACAAATAGAACTGTAAAATTGAAGAAAATAAAATATTGAAAACAAAATTTCAAATTAATTTATGCCTACCATCATTGAAACGCCTGCAATGGCCATTATACCTGACCTCAAACCGTCAGACAGATTTTGACTAAGGGCTTGACCGGCCAAGGTTGTGTCTGCGGAAAGTCGACTCAGCAATTCTCCTGTGCGCGTTTTGTCGAAAAATGCCATTTCCTGTTTCAAAACTGAGCCAAACAACATATGCCTCAGTCTGTTAGTAATTCTTTGGCCTAGAAATAGAAATAAAATTGACAATTTATTAAGTAGAGAGTGATTGCAAAATGAGAGGTACCGGAAACATTCATCAGGTAGACCCGTCCGAAATTGCACAAAGACCCAATAGCGAAAACTCCTAAGAGAACAGTGCACAAGGGAAGGAGTTTGTCTGCTGGTTGTCCTCCTACTGACGTGTAGAGAATGTCGACCACTTTCCCAAGGGAGAATGGAACAGCCATGGATACAGTGCTTGACCCAAGAAGCAGAACCATTGCAGCTGAAATAAAAAAAATTAAATAAATTATTCAATTAAAAAAGATATTATTACAAATAATATAAAAAATTGTTTTTTTTTTATTTTTATTAAAGGAAGATTTTACACAGAAATTGAAAATAAGTGTTATGTAACTTTGCTCCTACATCTACATAATTATTATATTATTTTTTTGGCATCAACTGATCAACTTAATTTATCCTACATTAATTTCAATTTACCAGTCAATTTCCATTTCTCTGGTTTGGCCAGTGCGACAAGTCGCTTTAAATCTGTCTTGCTGATTTTGACTGCCTCAGCTTTTTTGTCTGCCACCGCACCGAGACCTTTGGCCTCTTGACTCGCAACTGGGGTGCTTCTGTACGGCCGCCAGAACACGAAAAACGGTCTCGACGGGGCGGCTTCCTTTCCCGTCGTCCTGAAGGACAATCCGCAGGTGTGCAGACGACGAATGTGGAGGTACAGACTCATGTTTGCCTGATCGAGTGGCCTTCGACGGAGGTCGGCGAGCAGCCAATGCCTGGCGAACGAAGCTCCTTTGCGCAAGTTTTCAGACAGAAATATGGCCCGGTGTGTGACGAAAATGTTCATCTGGAAGAAAAAATAGTGTCGGTCATCGAGACTGATCGAGACAAGGGTGGAGGGTGGGCGAAAGGGTGCAAATCAGGGATAAAAGTCTTACCGCACCGGACCAGCTGCTCTTATTTTGTTTTTCAAAAAGTTCCCCCTGTTGCCGCCGCTGACGCCAGCGCCACGTGACGGCGACGACGAGGTCAGCTGATAAATCAATTCTCGCCCAAATTCGGAGTCTTCCCAACATCTTGCAGCCCAAACACTCCGGTTAAAATGTCTGGAAAAGAGAGATTGCCCATTTTCCCGTCGAGAGGGTGAGATATTTTAAAGATTTGCTTGATTTTCCATCAATTTTGCTAATTTTTCTGCCTAAATTGAGTTTAAAATTTAGTCTAAAGACCACCTTATGGTTCACTGGAATTTGCAGAATTCTAGAAATTCTCTGGAAACAATGGAAAATATCTCATTACCTTTAATTTCAGAGCCCAGATGCTGATGAAGGCCAGGCTAAAAGGCGCACAGAAGGGACACAGCTTGCTTAAGAAGAAGGCAGACGCTCTGCAGATGAGATTCCGAATGATTTTGAGCAAAATTATTGAGGCATTTAAATGAAATTCATTAGTAAATGCGTTGTAACAAAATTCGTCAAATTTCAGACCAAAACTCTAATGGGCGAGGTGATGAAAGAGGCAGCCTTTTCCTTGGCCGAGGCGAAATTCACCACCGGCGACTTCAACCAGAACATTTTGCAGAACGTCGACAAGGCAAAGTTCAAGATTCGCACAAAGAAGGACAACGTCGCCGGTATGAACTACTTTTTATAAAATAATTATTTTGAGACTAAATTTGGTTTATTCAGGTGTGACGTTGCCCGTTTTTGAGAGTTATCAGGACGGAGCCGACTCGTACGAGTTCACTGGCCTGGCCAGAGGTGGACAGCAGTTTGCTAAGCTGAAGAAGAACTACCACAAAGCTGTGGTCCTGCTGGTCGAATTGGCCTCCCTGCAAACATCGTTTGTCACCTTGGATGAGGTCATTAAAATCACAAACCGCCGCGTCAACGCCATCGAGCATGGTAAACAATTCGACCAAAATATTCTAGAAATAAATTATCATTATCAATTTTGTTTTCTTCATAGTGATCATTCCGAGGATTGAAAAGACTTTGGCCTACATCGTGTCTGAGCTGGATGAGCTTGAGCGTGAGGAGTTCTACAGGTATTAATTTAAATTTCAAAATAAAATAATCATGCAGAAATTGAAAAAAAAAAACAACAATATTGGCAGAGATTGAACAGACTTAGTTCTCCCGGCTCCTGGTATAAAATATGTCCCTGGATGAATCCGAAGGGGTAAAATTTGTTCCAGGATAAATATTTTCTATACAGCATTTAATTTTTTTTTTTAAATTTATTCAGAATAACTTTTTCTTAACCCACATAACGGGATAAACATTTAACCCTGCAACGTTATAATTAAATCAGATAGTTATTAAAAGATCTTCAACATGCTCTCGAACTTTTTTAAATTTTGGCCATTTGCAAGGATCAAACAACTTTTTTGGTACAGAATTTTGCAAAGATCACGAAAATAAAGCTAAAATTATAATCAAGCCTATGTGCTTCTGTTTGGGCCAAGGCATAAGAAGAGATTTAAACCCTTTAAGATTTTTCCCAGGATATTTTTCATACCTAGAGTTTTGTTTATTGATTATTGAATCTCCCATTTAAAAAAAAAATAGTTACTTTTTTCTTTGTTAAGCTCTTTGTTTATGTCTTGCTGATGTCTTGAAAGCTGTTGTTGAGATTTACTTTTCTAATTTTGTTTTTTTACAAACATTTTCTTTCAAAAGCAGGAGCAAATTATAATTTAAAAAAAGGATCCTTGTGATTATTTATAATTTGAAATTACTAATTTATCAATTTTATCCCAAAATGTAAAATTTTTTAACATTTTGTTTAAAAACCATAGATTTTGAGTCAGAAAAATTAATTTTTATTATCTTCCCTTCAAATTTCAGGCTGAAGAAGATCCAGGACAAGAAGCGCATTGCCCGCAAGAAGGTTGAAGCTGCGAAAGCGGCGCTGCTGGAATCGGGAGTTGTCATAGAACAGGCGGGCAACATGCTGGATGACGAAGACAAGGACTTGCTGTTCTAATCATGTCTGAGGTATTATGTTGATCAATTTAAAGTGCATTCCGGGTTGTGTACAGCCGTCAAAATTCATTTTAAGATATTCGTTGAATGTGGGCTAGATAGTATAAAAAATATCAACTCGAACAAATTTGTTGACTCGATTTTCATGCTAAAATCATGAATGTGAAAATTATGTAAATAATAGTAGCACACAAAATGTATCATAATGTAATTTTCGTTGTTACCTTTGTCAAAGGCAAGTTTGCCACTAGTTCATGAAAAATATTGAAGAAGAATAAAATAATCAATAATGTGTTATGAATTTTGGATTTTTTCATTAATACATTTTAATTTTTAAAACATTTTATTTGCTTTACACCATATATGATATTTACGGACTGACACTGGTAGTTCCCATCCTAAATCACATTCAGACATTTGAATTTTTGCAAGTGATATTTTTATTTTACTCCCGAACATCAAACTGGCAATGAAAACGCAGCCATAGATAGAAAAGTTATTAATTCAGTTGTAGACATTTTACCCACTGATCAATTTAATTTTTATCTTCCTAAATTGTACACATCTGCCCAAGAACATCCCTCAGTTTCCTCAAAGACACAAAATTCAAATCATTCTCACTCCTCAGTTCTATGTACAGCTTTTTATATATAATTGCATTTCTCTCTTAACTATTATCACATCTCTTTAAAATACGAGCCAACGTGGCCCATTATTTGATGTTGGATGATATAATTTTTATTCAGATTTTACCACAACCTTCTCTCAGCCAGATCTTGTCAAGCCGCATAATGGTCGAAAGAACCTAAATACTCGAGGGCAGCCCGATAGCAGAATTCATATTGCTCCTGAAAGTTCAATATCAACTTCAATTAAATATTATATATAAAAAAAGCTTAAAATTTATAAATATTCATCTTTAAATCCCGAAAATTCAAATAATTTAGATGAAAAAAAATACCTCAGTTTGAACCATTGCTGGTCTTTGTGTGCGCAAAATTCTGACAGTCTGTAGAAGGTCGACGACTCCTTCGTATTGCATTCTTTCCAAAACTATGCTGAGGGCGATGAAAACTCCAGTCCTTCCAACACCCCCGCTAAAGATTTTTTCCGTCAGTCTTCCGATTAAACAAGTTTCAAATCAAATTTACCTGCAGTGAACTGTGATAGGCCCTTCCTGTCCGAACTGCTCTTTGGTTTTGTGCACTTGGCCTATGAATTCAATGAAGCCCTCGCCGGACTTGGGCACTCCCTGCTCAGGCCACTCGATGAACTGGAATTGTCTGACTGTGCGTGATTGTCCATCTCTCGAATCCGTGACCTGAAAATATTCCCATTTTAAGTTTACTCATTTATTGATTAATTAAAAAAAAAAAAAAAATACTTTGGCTGCATTTGACATAAAAATATTCACTTTTCAGAGTTTTTATTTGGGTTTTCTCACAGTGTAAAGAATATTTTCTTTCAAAAGTGCAATTCTATCTAATATTTATTATGAATTTTATTCATTCAATGATTAATGAATGCATCTCCTATTCATTTGGCACCTCAATGAGCATTACCGCATTATTAAAGCTCGTTAGTTTTTAATTAAATTTCTCATAATAGCAAAAATATGAAAAGATTATTGAAATTTAAAAAAAAAATTATAAGATTAAAATTTTGCCATTATTTTTAAGTATTTTCATCCCGAAAAGTATTTAATTGGAGCAATATTTTTCTAAAAACTCTAATTTTGATATTTTCGTTTTAACAAATTATTAAATAAACCAGTGGTGTTAAGAAAAAATAAATTCAGCCTTGCAATAAAACAATATATACCTTAAATTCTCTGAGAATGTACTGGGGCATGTTGTACTCTGCCAGGGGGTCGACCACAAAATTCAGGTAACGAACCGACCTGTCGCTTGGCCAATACTGATGACACTTTTCCTGCAAAAGTTTTTTAATTTCAATTCTTTTTATAAAAAAATATTTGATTAAATTACTCGGCCCATTTCTTTGAGTTTGGTGAGCATGACAACGATGGTCGAGTTGTACTCCCAGAGCATCCGCCACAGGTCGGCCGCCGTGTTGGGCAGGGGCCCCTGAGTGGCGATGTAGGCAGCCCTGTAGCGGTAGCCGTCGACCAGACTGGCGTTGATGTAGTCCGAGCCGTCCACCCCTCTCACGGGGGACAAACACACCCTCGAGTTTTCAAGCGGCAGAACGTGCATCAGTCGGTTTTTACAGGCGTTAATCGGCAAACTGGCTGAGGAAAATCGCTCCGAGTTGGCGCAAAAAGACGACTGACTCAGGGCCTAAAAGATTTGGGAAATAAATTACAAATTTATTTATAAATAAGATTAAAAAAAACATGTTTTAAAATTTAATAAATTCCCTTATGGAATTTATATTGAGCGTAAAACTAAATTAAAAGTAAAATTGAAATTTCTTTGTTTGCCCCGTTATATCTCAGTCAGTGTTTTAAAATATGGAAATGGCTATGTGGCTTAAACTCTTCAGTCGTATTTTACAGTGTAAAAATAAAATATTTTCAGCAATTTGTTAAATCAAATGTAAGCTATTGAATTAATTAAAACTATTCGCATCAAAATTTAACATAATTTTAAAGAAAATTTGAATACTTTGAATTCCAGCTGCAATTTGGTCAGATTATCTCCTGGCAAGAGTTGACTAATTGTGGCTAAGTGTGGGTGCAAGTTTCGGGCCGTGATTTCAGTCGAGCCGCACTGGGCAGCCTCGAGTAGTGCCTCGTGGATAAAAATGTACTGCTCCTCAGTCTGCACCATGTAGTTGCGCTGCGCCCTCAGGCAGGTGACGTGGCCGTAAATGTCGATTGTGGCTTCAGTCTTCATTCTCTCTAGCATTGAGTCGATCACGATAAAACAACCAGTTCTGCCCACGCCAGCGCTGAAAATTGAATAATTTTTTTACCAAATAAATTTAAAAAAGTAATAAAATAATAAATTTCAAACCTGCAGTGTACTATGATAGGCCCTGCGCCAGTAGGGTTCAAACTTTTGATTCTGCGTAAAAACATAAGGAATGGAGCGGGATGCTCGGGAACGCCGTGGTCGGGCCAGGCGGTGAATTGGAATTGGCGCACTTCTCTCGTTTCTGTGCTACCAGCCTAAAATTTTTATCAAAAAATAGCAAATATAAAAAAGAATTTGATTTCCTAAATTGATATAACTATAAAAATAATATTTAATAAATTCATGAAAATTTTATAAATTCTATTATAAACAATGGCTTAGTTTCTTCAATTTTTTTATTTTATAAAATGCATAAAATCCAAGCCATTGTTTTTAATAAAATTTATAAAATTTTCAATTCCATAAATGCAACAATAATTTTTAGAATATAATAATTTAAAATAAAAATGATAAATGCTTTAGAAAAAAGCGTATTTTTACAAATGTTTTCAATATGATTTTAATTTATTTTTGAACATACCCTAGTTACGTGGAATGTGCGAATGCAGTAAGTAGCCAATTCTTGGACGTCAATTGTGTTCACTGTGACTGGACCGTAAGTTTCAGTGCTTCTGGTAGGCCAATACTGGTCGCATTTGATTCTCGCTCTCTCCTCCAGTCGCGTCATCATGACGATGCTCGCGGTTTTCTGCTCCCAAACCAAGCGCCAGAAATCGCCAAAAGTGTCGTGAAGTGGCCCCTAATTTATTTAAAAATAATTCGTTAATTAAATCAATATTCATCAAGCTGATCATATTTCAGGTAAAAATTCGAAAACTGTATTCAAAAATTAATTTTTTTTTTTAAATCAACTTTTTATAATTTATTTTATTGGCTTAAGATTCTCTAGTCTTGATATTTTTGATCATATTTATAATGCAAAATTTTTTATTCACTTATTTTAATTAAAATTTGTTAGGCAGAAACTGAAAGAAACAAAGAATTTCCTTAATTCTAGCTTAATGAAAGTGTCAATATTTCAAAGCGTGCTGATTTAATTTATCAGCATCTTGTTGGCACGCTCGCATAATATTCCCGTCGTAATGCAATAATGCAAAAGTTCTGTTGGGGGAGAATGCAAATTGAATACCTGAGTGGCAACGTAGGCGTTGTGTTTCCGATATCCGTCGCAGAAATTTGCATTGATGTAGTCGCTGCCCTGCTCGCCGTTCTCGAGTTGCAGCACGACCCGCGAGTGGTCGTACGCGATCACATTAGCATATCGGTTCTTGGGCTTGTTCACTTCTAAACTCGAGTGGTCCCACGTGAACTGCTGACCGGGCTCGATGCTCTGCAAACACGACACCAATTTGATTAGTACTCCAGTTGTGTTGCGCATTCGTCTCTGTTCGATTCAATTTTGCGCGACGGGAAATCGCTTGGGAAAAGAAAACGCGCTTTTGCAACGGAAGCTCTCGACTGGAGAGAGCAAAGAGGATGAAAAGGCTGACAAAATACTCTTTACTTGGATAAATCATTAATTTTGTATTATATTTAAAAAAAAATTTTATTATCTTTTCGTATTTGATTCAAGGGTTAAAATTTTAATCTTTAAAATATAAAATTTTGAATATATAATTAATTTGCAAATTCATTTACAAGCAGAAAATCTAACACGTTATTATTCTAATCTTTCTATTTCTATTTTTTAAATATTTTTCCCCTCAAATTAATTAGTTTATATTTTAATTGAACTCTATTTAACTTAACAAACCATACCGAAATAAAAATACTAGAAAAAAAATTCACAATTAGTAGAAAAAAGGACATTTTTTTATGTTACCTCGTATTCCTGCGAAAATCGCAAATTGTCATCCGAGCGAAGACTTTCGATATGTTGGGCGAGTTGGGCCATGGGCACCGGCGGATGGGCCACCATGGCGGCCGTTTTGAAGTGCAGTCTTCTGAGCTGGACAGGATCGTTGGGGGTTGGTGGACACGGCTGCTGGCCGTTGCTTTGAGCCTCCCGGGCGCCGTTCGCGTTGCAAGAGACCGGCGCCGAGTTGTGGTCCGAGTTGTTGGCCATCAGAGGCCGACTGGCCGCTGACTGGTCTTGCTGCTTGCACGGCTGTCTCCGTCTGCTAGAAAACGATTTTTCTTGTAGTTTTGGTAAATGTTTTTTTCAGTTTACAAATTGATTGTCTTGATTGATTTTTCTTCCAACATCTCATTTCAATATTTGGGTGCAAAAATATTTAATGTGGACAAAAAAATAATCAACAAAGTTAATAATCAAAGGTTTATGTTGAAGTTATATTGATTATTATATTATTTTTTAATGAAATTTGAACAATTACATAATATTAAGTGTGAACAAATGCTAATTTTCAAACTGCTAATAATAATGATAAAAAAAATGAGGATTATATTGATTTGTGTCGAAAATTTTATATTTTAAAATAGATCAATACTTTCTGGAATTTTGAACAATTTTCTGTTTAATTTTATATCATATTAATCTAGGAAGGAAGAAACTTTGAGAAGTTGGAATTTGATATGAAATCATAGATATTGTGAACTGTACTGTTGTGTTTTTAAACGTTTATATTCTATGATAAAATGATTGAATTACCAAATTTCTGTGTATCTTTTACAGTTAGAAAATTACAAAAAATATTTATATTATATGATTTTATTAAAATTTAATAATTATATTATATAAAATGTAAAAAAAATTCCCAAAAAAATTTGGATGTTTTTTAAATAATGAGTTAAAACTAATAAATAACATTTTTTGTTATTGTTGCTCTGTTTCAAACATTACCTTCTCATTAGCAAGAGTGATAAGAGACAGAGCGAAAGAAAAGCAGCAGCGACGACAGGGCCGATGATCCATAGCAGTCCAGCTTCCTCCAAACTCCTGTTGACAGACACGTCTGCGGACGTCTCTGCCGGCACGTTGGGGTTGGGTCTCCTTGGTGGTTCTCCGGGCGGCACCTCCCGCATGTCCAGGGCGAGTGGCTCAGAAAATGGGCTCGACGTGTACAAGTGCTGAAAAATTGCCACTTTCATTCTCGCCTCGATGCCACACTCGCCGCCGGATATACCTTTTGCGGCGTGTCAACCACGGCTCTGACGAAAATTCGGTACTTCTTGCCCCGTTCCAGAGGTTTGTTCACAAATCCATCATAAGCGGCGCCATTTCCGAGGTGGAACGTGTAGGGAATGTTTCTCTGGGGAAATTTGGCCGCCACGTAAGGAGCGTACGGCTTGAACTCGCTTGGCTTTCTTGAATTTGATATCACCTGAAAATGCATTTTGGTTTTTTTGCACCGTTTACGGCCATAAAGTGTAAAGTGCTGTGGATATGAGAAGACAGACTGGTGGATAAAGTCTCTTTTTTAAGGACATTTTAGGATCACAATTTCCCGGGCAAAGGTGAAGTAAAAAAACGACTTTTTTAGAATTAGTTTTTGTTACCAAATTATTTTTAACTAAAAGAAAAAAGATAGAAATTAATAAAAGGTTTTTCTTGTAACGTTTTTGATACATATATGATTAAATATAAATTACAGACAGCCAAGTTTTAAATTGCATTTTTTTGCAACGAAATTTGTATTTTTCTTAAAACGTTTCAAAAATAAGGGGCGATCAATCCAAAAGCCTGCGATGGCCCAACATGAAATTTAAACGATTTAAGTTAGATTAGGCCAGGTTTAGGCTTCTGTATTGCTTTTAATTGTAATTAAATTTTTTGAAAAATTTTAAACAAGGGGTAAAAAATAGTGGATTTGAAGTAGTCTGGAAGAAAAAAGTTTCACTACTTATAGGAGATGGAAAGACTACCAAAAAATTTAAAACGTTTTAAAAAGATTTTTCCACCAATATTAGGCATTTTTTAGTTTCACATTTTTTCATTCAAATCAACATAGAGATCATCACCAAGAAAGGATTTTGAAGCGAATTATGAACATTCATTACTTTTCCAACTCTATAAATTTTGTATCCAGAATATTTCTGCCTCACCAAGGAAATTGGAAAAATGTAGTGCTTCGGAGAAAAGAAAGCAAAATAATGAAAAAATTCCAAACCATAAAAAGGGAAGAGAGATTCAAAGTACCTCATCTGTGAGAAACTGGTCAGGGTGTTTATGGGCATTGTCGTGATCGTCGGGCACCACGATCAAGTAGTAATGGCTAATGGGTCCGTACTCTTCGGACGCCTGGGGAAGAATGACTTGAATTTCCTCTCCACTGACAACGCCGTAAAAATCTGGCTTCACCATTGGCTGCGGGGCTGTCGACACGAAAACGAAAGGGCGCACATAAAAAGGGGTGCTCATTGCGGCGTGCAAGAAAAAAGTCAACAAACCGGCCATTTGGGTGGTCACTGTTATTCTGATCGGCGGCCGGTACGCACCGTCGGCGGGAATCGCGCTCAAATTGACGTTGTAAGTGGTGAACGGGGACAGTTCGTTGATTGTGTGCGAGCGCGCGGAAGAGTCGAGCACGATGCTGCGCCGCGGCACCAGTTGCACCTGAGTGATTCCTTGAGAGTCCACAAACTCCTTCGATGCGTCATACGAAACCTGCAATTTTATTCAGAAAAATAAATTATTTGAGCTTCTCATATAAAAGCAGGTTTATCCGAAATAGGGCGATAGCAAAATTTGAAGAAAATCAACAAATATTATGGTTTATACTTGTTGTAAATTATGCATATTTACAAGGTAGACTTAATTCCAATTTGAGTTTCATTAATGGAGATTCAGATCTGAATAAATGATTTTTATGTAGAACATGAGAAATTTGTAGAATTTAGTTTTTACTTGTTTATATGATCATGCAATTGATGGTTGTACAATATAAATTATTAAATACACTTTTAAATTTATAATAAGTAAATTTGATTCATATGGTAAATATAATTTTTTTTAAATAAAAATAACCATAAACGTTCGCTGATTTTATTTTTATTATAAAAAGTAATAAAATTTTATTATAAAATTTACTAAAAAAATATAAATACACGTAGCATTTTTTTTATAAATAATATCATATTACAATTTTAATATAACTATTTATCTTACAAAAAGCTATTTTTAATTACAAACAAATTAAGTTTACTATGGTATGTGTCCCATTACAAAGCATAAAAATTGATAAAAATGAATTGCAAAGGATTATGATGTTCGACTTTTTAATGAAAAAACACATTTATTAAGGCGTTCAATAAACATGAACATTTTATTACAAACTAACACGACGCTCAACCAGTTTTGAGCTCGGAGTGAATACAAAAAAGCTCCCACAATAATCATATATGCAAATAATTTCTATATTAATCAGCTAGCAGCGTTCATTCTTGAAAATAGATGTTTCTTTATAATTTGTTGAATTTAAAAATCCACTTTTTATATTTATATTTTAATATCGGTGCTTTCAACCTACTTGTAACATTAAGAAAAAACGTAATTTTAAATTTTTTATTTTTGCTTTTTAAAGATCGTGACCAAAAGCGTCTTGATTGAAAATAAACATTTTTTCTACGAGTTCTTTTCTATTCATGAACGATTCCCTCGTGTACCCATTTTTCATTTTAATCCATTGTTTTATTTTATTACTTACATGGAGATTGACTTTACAGTTATTTTTGACGTAACGACGTAACTGAACAACAAATAGATTGAAAATAAAGTGATAGGCAACTTGCACGACACGAGTGTTCAGCAATAAGCCTACTTCAAAATTTCCAGTAATGCCAAACTCTTGAACTGATTTGAATAGGGGGTATTCAAAGATCGACAACTTCATCCACCTTGGACGAAACCAATTAATTTTCTTCCACAAAACCCAAAATTAGGTTAATATAAAAGGTAATTTGCGAAATGCCGCAAACCAATGGGTTTGTTTACGTGGAGAGAGTGAAAGGAGCGGCGCACAAAAGGCCTGCGTGCTCCACACTAAGCTGACTAATTAGAGCATGCAGATGCATGTCTTTTGATCTGTGCAAATCACACAGAGCTAAGGGCAAACGCTACTTAGCATCAAGTGCCTGCTAATGATCGCCCAATGGATTCTGACGTCGGTTCAACACAATACACGCGCCTATTGATACCCTCTTGAGCCGCCGGTGGAGAGAGTGACGAGAGACAGCCAGGCCGATTCACAACTAGCTGTGGCGTCACTCACTCACTCACCCACCCACTCACTTTTGATATTGTCGATCGTCAGTCGGGCCATTTGGATAATTAATACGTCAACCAGCGGTTAATGGATTAGTGGGACAATGAGAAACGACCCATTTAATTTATAGAAATAAACAAACAAGGATTAGTGATGCTTTCCCTTTCAGTCACGTTTTAATGGAGCTAGAAATCGTCCGAGAACATTAAATAATACACGCATACTAAAAAAAATGTCGTATATTTTGGCAAGACAATTGTGAAAATAAATTTTGAGGGCAACAAGATTTGTTGGTTTCTAATTCTGTAAGACACTGTAAGAGGAAATTGCCGATTCAGAATCACAATTTGACACTTCTATCCACTGTAAATTGAGTGGATAAAATATATCTCCATGGAATTGCAATTTACATAAATTAAATTAATCATAAAAATAAAAATAGTTTCGAAAATTCTAAAAAATCGGACTTTTAGTTTATATGAATTTGAAATTGATAAAAAAATTCAATTTTCTTGTTGTAGAGTTTTAGTTCAGTGGATAAATTAACTTCGTGTGATGTATACAATTAGCGCTTTCAATATCCATGAAGCATAATATTATTTAAATTTGCACTCATCTAAATGGACGTAAATGCAAATTTGTTATTACCAGCACCCAAAATATTGTGGGTGCCAATAAAATAATTTATAGCATAAACAATATTATTTTTTTACTCATAAATTTTTGATTTTTTTTTATGATAAATATATAATTTGAAAAATATTTAAATTAAATATATAATAATCCAATTTTTAAAGCACCAATAAAAATAATTGAGTTATAACATAAATCAAAATTAAATAATGTAAAGTGTTTAATTTTCATTATTCTCACCTTGTAACTCTGCGGGTTGAGTCTGATAGGTGGCGACCACGAGAGCGTCATGCTGTGCGTACTGACGTCGTGAGCACGTAAATTCAGCGGCACGTCTTCTGGTTTCACTTTGACTGTCACTTTCTCAGACAACTTGCCGAGCCCCTGCAAAGAGAGTTATTAACAAACGGCGCGACGCTCCTCGCATGCACTCAGGTATTCATAAATTGGCTCACAGAGAGCAAAATAAATAACGCGAAATATTTAATTAAACGTTCCCTGTGGCTCGCAGCGGCGCCGGCTCACAGGAACATGGGCAAACTTTCGCAATTTGTGATTTACGGGCGGGACTTACGGTTCGCGTTCTGGCAGCCACAGCCACGGCGTACTGCGCGAACTTTTCCAGGTTCGTCAGCTCGGCAGATTCGGTGACTGGCACCGATTTGTGCTGCCACTCGTCCAGGTCCTCCACCGCCGTCATTGTGTAAAAAACCTGTCAAAATGAATTTGAATAATTCTTTTTAGTAAAACCAATTCATCAATTTTTTGTCTCAAATATAATATAATCATTATGATTATGTTGAAAATTTAAAAAATGAAGCCATAAAAAATTGAGAATTAAAAAAGGATTAAAAGATATTTATAAAATAATAATTTTCATCCTTTCAAAATTATATCAGTAATAAATATTTTGTAAACAAAATAAATTAACTTGAAATCTAATAATCTGCTTTTAAAGACATAAGTTGTTTTTTTATAATATGACCCAAGACAAAACTACATTAGATGAAAAATCATCTAAATGTATAAGCACTTCTCTAAACTTGTAAATTTCCTCAGGCGTAATATTCCATTTTCAACTATTCATTTGTGCATATTAAAATTTCAAAAGAAGAAAATTTTTTCAAAATGTTATTTCTTTTTAAATATTATTTTCATTTAAATGCAAAAGATCCGAATTATTAAATTAATTTTAATTAAAAAGTGTTATCAATTGCAATATGATGTGAACAAAACTTGAGCAAAATTTCACAAATAAAAAATACTTTTTATTATTAAATATAAAATATTTACAAAAACTTTCTACATATTGTAAGATCGCAATATAACTACCTAAAACGTTAAATTTAAATTACTTATTTTAAAGTTATTTTTGAATCTTTAGGATTTAATTCATTCAAAATGTAAAAAAAAAAATAGTATCTTACCTGGTATCCAATGACCTTGTTCCTGCTGGGCACAGGTTCCCACCACACTTCAACGCTGGCGTCGGAGGTGGCGAGGGCACTGACCGCCAGCGGGGCCCTCACCGCGTCCCTGTCCGTCTTGACGATCAACCTGTCGCTGGGCGGGCCCGCGCCCCTGATGGTGAAGGCCCGCACGTGGAACGAGTACTCGGTGTTTTCCTCGAGACCAACGAACACGGCCTTTGGCACGGTCACGTTGCGTTCACCGACCGGCGCCGAGTGGTCCTCCACTTTGTACAGCTGCGCCGTGTACCTGAGCACCCTGCCGCGACGCAGGTTCGCCACCGGAGGGAACCACATCAAGGCGACCACGTCCGGCGTCTGGAACTCGACGCTCAAGTTCGTCGGCGGACCGGCCGGAGCGCCTTCGGGCGTTGGAAGACGCACCACCGCCTCTTGACCTGCACCCGCAGCGGTAACGCCGGCCAGACGAAATTCAAATAAGGTTCCGTGCTCTGAAAAATTATTAATAAATTAGCAATAATCACCAATAACCAAATTGAATTTGAGGTGCGACGTTATTTCACAGGAATAACTTTTTTATAAGTTAGAAATTCAGATTTAGGTGATAAATTTGACAGGTTAAAGTATTCTTATTATTTTTGAAAAAAAAAATCAGAATTTTTGCAATGAGAAATTTGGAGATTTTTTTAAAATAATAAGATAAGATAAATTAATTTTTATTAAAACTTTCACTGAAATATTATTTATTTTTCCAACAATGAAAGGAAAGTAATTTATTGAAAATCTGTGACAAATCCAATATTTTAGTTTCTGCAGGTGCCGTTTTTTGACCACTTAACAATGCAGACCAAAGAAATAATTTGAATAAAAATGGTCTGCTCTAAATGACTTTGTAGAGATTATTTGATTAAAAGACGAATCAAGCAGGGAATATCTTAGCTCATATTGGGGCTGAACACACACTCTTGAATAAAAACAGGACCTATATCTAGAAATATTTTACTGCAGTTTAACTACTAATTCAACAACTAAAACACCAGATTTTCGTCTCATATTTACTGTTGCTGATCATTTACTACAAAGTCAATAATTGTGGTAATTATAGTCTCATTCATCTGGATCAAATAAAGAGCTTAAGAAACTGAACTGATTAATTGTTTAAGTTTATAATTTAGTAAGAGAAACCTAGACAATCATAAAGTTATATTCATTTGTAGACTACATAAAAAGTAAAAATAGTTTGACAAGAGGTATAAAATAAAATTTGTTAATTGAAATGTAAAAAAATTAAATTATAATACAAATAATTTAAATTAATTGTTTAAGTAAAATTTAAAGTATTATAAAAATAATAAATTTTAAGTTAAATCAAAATTGGTGTGGATATTTTTATTTATTTTAATATATTGACATTTACAAACATTGTTTTGTAAAATTATAATTTTAGAATATTAAAAAAAAGTACTTATGGGCTGGGAAACATAATATTATGTAAAACGTGGATGCATTCTCGGCGCACGCTTTATGAACAAAAAGCAGCGTTCGGCCCCGCGGGCTGTAAAATTAATGCGCGCACTCACCTAATCCCTGGACCCGGTGCTGCAAGGTGTGCGCGCCAACAATATCCTCCTCGGTGTAAAGCAGCGGTTGACCTCCTTCGTGTTGATCGTCCTGGCGGGCGCCGTACCGCAGTCTGTAGCCGAGCAGTTCGCCGTGAGGGTTGCTCGGCTTTGACCACTCGAGCTCGACGCCGACGCCAACCCCTTCGCCCTCGTCCAGCAACCTGCCCGCCAGAGAATTCAGAGATCAAATAAAATCCTCTGACCGCGCGCCGACCGGCCAAGGGGCGAATTCCGACCAAGAGACCATCCCTCGAATAATCCTTGCGGCCTTACCTCTTCGCAAACGCCGCGAAATTGCTAAACGCAAACTAAATCAAAATCAGCTTTCAGAGTTCGCGTTTATCCTTATCGGGGTCAAATTAATATTCAAATATAACAGAAATTGATCATTTCTTTCTCAATATTTTCATTAATAAAACTGTTGATTTTTGTATACCTTTTTCAAAGAGTAAAAAAATGTCACGTTTATTTTCGAAATCGTGATAAAAATTTGCATCCCTTAATGTTGTAAATAAGTTCATCGGATGTAAACTTTTTCCTACCAAATGACCTCTGACTCATGGGACCTCTGATTATGCTAAAAAACTATTAATTTTGAATAGGTTATTGATACAGCAATAAATACATACATTATTTATTCTCCAAAGATCAAAATATGCCAGCGATAACTATGATTTCTTTTTTAAATTATAGGCAGCAATTTTTTTATTTTTTTATTTATCTGTAATTTTTTTTCAATTTCTCAAAAATTTATAGTTTTTAGGCAATAATTGTTTTGTCTAAAGTGAATAAGGCCAAAATATATTATTTTTGGTAAAAATGTTCTTACTTTCTGAAATGTTGCGATTTTTTTTATCAAATACGAGGTTCTAGAAACTCAATATAAACTTTTAAAGAAAGCTTATATAATATTTACACAGATACAAATCTTAACCTCAATATGTTTCCAACAAATGTAGGTTGCAAAGTGATTTTCCTTTCTCTATATCAGATATTTTTGATTTCGTGAAAAGAGAGGAAAACAATAAACAGTTAAGAATGCAAATTTTCAATCGCAATCAGTTTTCTTTTAGAATATTTAATAATAATTGGGGACATTAACTTAAGATATTTTTAACACGATGAGCCTGTGAGGTCCCATTGATTTTAGTCTAGATTTGAGATAAAAAATACCTGTTTGTTTGCATAATAAACCAATGTGAACGGCAAGGAAAGTCTGAAAATCCTCTGTACCCTTCTATCTATAAATAATTCTGTGTATTTTGACTTTGATCTCGATTTCACTGAAACCTCAAACGATCAACTACCGATTTGTTGGCACAAAAAATTCGATTGAAATCCGATATACGTCTCTTTCCGTCCGCTCGCGTATTTGCGTCGGCCGCGAGCGTTTTGCGCGATAATCAAGCGCCTACCTGTGTGTGTTATTTACCTTATCTCAAGCGTGGGTTTGTTGGGCACCCCGCCGGGAGTGGTGCCCATCACCGCCTTGCTCTTTTCACCCTCGCCGCGCCTCGTCAGCGCCGACACCTGCACGGCGTACTCGGTGTTGGGCTGCAGCCCCGTCACGTTGAGTTCGCCACCCCCCGAGGTCAGTTCCAACTTTAAGCTCGGCACTTCAAACACCACCGGCTCGAGGAAAAGATTTTCTTGTCCCTGGAGAAATACAATAAATCTTTAAATACCTCAAAAATAATGCCAGAGATCCGCTTTTGATTATTTAATTTGCGTTATCTTTTGTAGCGAGAAGTGTATTTTTTAGCAATTAAGATGTGTTTCTATCCAAAAATGTAATTTTAAAATCCATTTTAGTAATTTTTGCTTCATTCAATAACAAAAATAAATCTTACAAAATTCATTTTCATTAGAAATGTTAAAAAATGTCTGTTTCCTTCAAAAAAATTCCCATTCCATAGGCAAATTATCTATTTATTAATTTATCTATAATTTTAAAATTTTTTGATGATATCCTGGCAACCTTTCTGGTCACTGGTAAAAATATTATTAAAATTCAAAACTAGATTAAATTTTAAAAGATCAAACAGAAACTCTCTCGATTGCTTTTAAATATTCTAAAAGTATTAATTTATTACAAATTTGAAGTAAAATTTCTGAATGTTAAAAGTAAAAAAAAAACAGCCCGTTTAAAGTTTTCTGACCTACTTAATCAAAGAAAAGTGCACGTCAATTTCCAACTCAGCATGTCATTCTGATAAAACTTCTTGTTCGAAACAAACTTTGATCACTTTGATGTTACACAAGCCAGAGAGGCAAATATATATCAAGAACTTTGATATTTTCCAAGACTGGGTATGAAATACACAAGAATCACCTCAGGAAGCACTTCTTTGACGGTAATCTTGTAAGCCTTGATCAACTCCCGCCGCTCCGTGTCCAGCGGCGGCCGCCACCAAACTTGCAGACAAGAAATGTTCACTGGCAACACCTTGACGCCCTGCGGAGGTCCTGGCACTAAGTTCGCAGTCAGACAGATATTCAAGCATTAGAAACAAACGCCTGTGGGACCGGAATGCCAGAATGTTGTGATTATGGTCGTCTTCGTAATATTATTACAAGGAGGGATAAATTGTTGAGAGGATTATTATAATTATTAAAAAATCTCATTTACGGGGAAAATGCAGATGGAGGTTTCTAGAATCAGTTGGTTTTTGAAAAAGAGGTTTTAATATTATGTTATTTGTTTAATTCGACAAACTACTTACTGTAGAACTCGCCTGATGCGTTTGTGGGACAGCAAAAATGTGCAAAAAATAAAGTGTGATTATAATAGTGAAAAACATTCTCAAGAATAGTGAGATTGAAAAAGTGAAAATGGATTTCTTTAATCATTAAAGCATGTTTTGATTTATTTCAATTAACTGCTGTGTCTATTTAAGACAAAACTCAATTGGCATTGAAATTTGTTTCAAATTATTTAGTAAGGTGACCAAACCGAAAAGTAGCATGAAAGCCAAATTTAATTAAATATTCACTCTCATTTAGTTTTAATTTGTATACATTGTTATGCAGATTTGAAAAAAATATTAATTTTTTAAATTTTGCATGAAACTTCGCCTAAATTTTAATATTTGAGAACAGAATCGTTGAAAATTATTTTCATCCAACCTTTAATTTACATAATTTGGCTCTTTAAAATTTAATTATCCTCTAAGAAAAAATTCATTTTCACTTTTATCAGGTAATCAGAGCTATTGCGCGTGAAATTTTTTAATGTGCCCTAGCATGCGCAAATCAAGCGTGCCGGTGTGAATTTTAAACTCACCTGACTGGTACGTGTCGTCGAAGGTGGTGGCCTTGATCGGCTCGGACGCCTTTCCCACCCTGCCCTTGAGGGTGGCCGTGACGGAAATGAGGTACGTCGTACCTGGACTCAACCCCTGCAGCACCGCCTCCTTGCCGCTGGTGTGCGTGACAACCTCGGTGGCCGCCGAGTCCTCCTCGCGGGCCACCACGCGGTAGACAACGCCCGGCGGCGACGCCGCGGCGCCCCATGACAGATGCAGCTTCCGCGCCTCGGCGTTCACGACGCTCAGGTTGACCGCGGCGGCTGTCACTACAGCTACACAGGGGCAGATTTGCTCGAAATCGTGTTTGGTAGTGCCAAGAAAATTGATTTTCTTTGTCTTATTTTCATTGGAAAATCCAAGTTGTCAATAAAATTACTTTAAAGCATTTTAAATTCTAGAAATTTCATCTTATTTTTCTTCCTAATAATTTCCATTTTTAATTATTCCTTGGTGCAAAAGTGCATAAGTGAAACAAAAAGTGCTGCATGCAATCAGACTGTGCTTTTACACTACAAATTAATTTTCGGTGCTCTATGTAGTTATTATTATTTTTTTTTTAATTAATTGGCCCTGATTAATTCATTGGTTCTCCACCAAAATTTAGCGCTGATTTTAAAAACCTCCAGAAAGTTCCGCGACTGATGACATAATTATATTCTTTAGGCCAATTTGAGAAAGGATAAAATGAAGTAACTTACCGTAGGGTGGCGTTTTCACAACCAACGGGCTGGTAGTCGCCCCTTCACCCCTTTGAGACCTTGCTGCCAATGAGACATGATATACCGTGTCAGGAACCAAGCCGGTCAGCTCATAACTGTCGGAAATTGGAAGGCGTCTATGATGCCGTTCCTGTAAACAATGGAAAAAAATATTTCATATATTAATAAAAAAAAAGATCAATAAGTTCAGTTAATTTAACTTAACATCATAAAATATTTCATTACAAAAGTGAATCAATTATTGCTGTGTAGTGTGTATCATCAAAACTTCAAACTTTGATCATTTAAATCAATTTAGATGTACTCTCTCATATTTACTTAGCCCTGTTTACATATTTAAAGTAAACTGAGACTAAAAAAAAATCTGCATATTGAACCAATAAATTTAAGAGCCTTTAAACCACTTCCATAATTTAAGAGTAAACACGAAAGATAAAAAATATGGTTAAGATCATTTGATTTTTTTTTAAATTTCAACCAAATTTCATATAAATTATAATTATTTTTAAATTTTAATCAATTTTGAAGCTATAGTAATTTTGTTGAATTTTATTTGTATATAGTTTATAATAAAAGCACAACTTTTGACATTAAACTTTTGACATTAAACTTTTGCAATACTCATTTGCATGACCAATAAATACATTTCCCTACCTTTGTGTATGTGTCGTTCCAGTACAGATCGTAGGCAGTGAGGTGTTCGCCGGCGATGACAGGTCGACCCCATTGCAGCTTGACAGAATTTTCACCTATTTCGCTGGCGTCGAGATTTGTCGGCTGCGACGGAACTAAAACACAAATCGGACAGAAATGGCGCATAATCGAATAATAACTGGAGCGCACTGCATTGAATCTCTCGTTGCTGCATTTGCAGGCAATTAATGCAAATTTCACTGAGCTGGCAGCTGCATTGACGCGAAAAAACATCTAGCATATTATGACTGGCCAGGCAGCTAATTAGTGCGCTTTGAATTTTTGATTGACAGCCGATATTATATAACCCGGCAGATTGTTGATTTGCTATCAAAGAACACCTTTAATGGCTTTGATTCTCACAAATGGAAATGTTTTGTAAAAGCATAAAATCATAAATAATTTGTATTGATATTAATATTTAAAAATAATAAATCAATGTGAAATATTATTTAATTATTTCAATACAAATAGTTTTATTTAAATTTTTTCATTTTTAATTTATCTGCTATTTAAAAAGTATTATCATAAATTGAAACATAAACCTGATTTTAGAACAACTTAAAATTAAGTGCCAAAATTTTTTAAAAATTTATAGGAGACATAAATATCAATACACACATTCTCCATTTTTACAAATGCTTCTCTTCTCAGGTATTCATACACTATTAATATGTTTTAGTTTTTACTCACACATTACTTAACTATCTCCATGACATTATTCACAATTATTTTAATAATTTCATTTCATCGATTCTAAAATCAGTTTTATAAATTAAGAAAAGCAATCAATATATAAAGTATTACAGGATTAATGAGTAAAGTTAATTTTTGGTGCAAATTTTTGTCACAGTTGCAAATTGAATTTTATTTTTGCCTACCTCCTTGCTGAGTTTTGACGAGCACAGCCGACGACAAAGGTCCCGGGCCAACGTTAGTTAGGGTCTGCACTCTGATGGTATAAATGCTGTGAGGGGTGAGTTCGCTAATGGTGGTCAGCTGGTTGTTATCCACCACCTGCGAGCGCCACTGGCTCAAAGGCAAATTCGGCGATTCGGTGTAATAAACTTTATAGCCCTGCAAAAAACGAGAGAAAGAAAGTTTCAACCAAATTGAATCGTAAAAGCAGGCGATCCGCTCTGACTGTTATTTGGCCGTTCGGCGTTTCGGGCTCTTCCCACTGAATGACCATTGTGCTCGAGCTGAGCGGCCGGACCTGCACGTTCTTCGGCACCGAACCGCCTTCTAGGAAAACGATAATCAGAACAATTTAATTGACAAATTTTTTCGAAAATCATACTTGCGTTGCCCTGGAGTGAATCGACTGGAATTGAAAACAGGGAATTAATTATCAAACCTTATAAAATATTATAAATACGTTAATACAGACACTTTTTTTACTAAATAGTAGAATAATCCGAATCAATTTTTTAGCATATAAGTAGATGCTTTTTTCATAATTTATTTTAGGTATATTTAAAATAAAAGTAAGAAATTTACAATGTGCCACAAGAACATACATAATTTGCCAAAGTTAAATTAATTGCTCTTTTTTAAGTAATTAAAAAAAAATTCATAATTAATTTCAATTTTATATCAGTTTGATAAACAATTTTTTATTAATAAAAAGACAAATAAAGATGTGTATTTATTTAAATTATATAATAACTAAATTGTCTTTTTTTACTGATTATGCAGATTTGTTGCTTTCACATGAAAACAAAACTCAATAATAGATAAAGTCGATCGTCGAAGTTTCTAGACCCTAATTATAAATAATGAATCCAACCTGTTTCGCCTGTGGTTGCCGTTACTGGTTTGCTCGTCGGTCCACGGCCGATATTGTTGAAAGCCGAGACGTGAAACTCATACTCGGTGAAGGGCGAAAGGCCACGCACGGTGTAGAACCTGGTGATGATGCCGCTAATTTCCGAGTACGCCTGATTGGTTGCGGTTCGCGGTTTGTATTGCAAGACGAAGAACTGCGGGTCCTCTTCTTTCGGGTACGACCAGCTCAGTCTGGCCGAGGTGGCACCGATTTCCGAAATCATTAGTGACACTGGCGCCACTGGCAGAGCTGCAATCAATCACGTTTTTCCATTATAAAGTTGCCTTTTAATGTTATTATTTAATTTCATTTTTTCGATTGAAATTCAACAATTGAAGTCAATATAATTTAGAATAAATATCACTGAAATTCCGTTGAAAATTAATAAAATAATGGATTTTTTGATGGACAGTAACAATGTTTAAGGTTTCTTGTGAAAAATAATTGTCTAACTAAGAGGTATTCTTGAGAATTTATTTATAATTATTTCTTTGTTTATTTTTTAAATTTATCTCCTAAAATTTTACAGACATAATAAAAGAAAGTAGAATAACAAAATACTGTAATAATAACGAATTTTAATAATAATTAAAAATAAAAAACTTATTAAATGTGAATAAACTTGAATATTTCTTCTTTAAAAATTCTTAAACTTATTAAACTTTAAATTAAAATAACATTTAAAATTGTCTTAAACACGGCTTTCATATTAAATTATGTAGTATTTTTTTTTTTTTTTATTCTGAATACTCACATAAAACTTTCACCGTCGTTGTTGATTCGATCGTCGCCAATGGACTCTTGGCCACGCATGTGTAATTGTCCGTCTCCCTGACGTCTTCCAGTTCAAGGATGCTCCTACCTATGGGCAACGGCGACCTGTCCTCACCTCCTTGAAAGGACAGCTCTTGAGCAGGGGTGGTCGAGGTTGTGGCGAGACTGGAAGGGCCGGTGATGAAAACGTCCGGACTGTTTGTTTTCCGCCACTGAACCGACGGCATCGGCGAACCCACGGCTACGCACGTGATGTTCAAACTACCCCCAAGAAGGACTTCGAGAACCGACGGTGGCGGAATTGTGAATTGGGGAGGCACTCGGCGAACTGCAATAATTAACCGGACAAATAAAAAACAGCAAAAAAAATTAGTTTTTATTATTTGTAGAATACATTTTACAATTAATATTTGAAAACTATACCTTTTTAATTAAATTGTTCAATTAAAGAAAAAATTTAAAATAAAATATAACAATTATGAAGCAAAATAAGTGCATCTTAGGTACTTTTTATATTCATTATTTTTCATAAATGTCTCAAAATGTCGCTTATTAATTTACATAATTCATAAGATGAAAACTCACCTTTGACGTAAAGCATGATGGCATGTGAATATTCAGTGCCCTGTTCATTTTCTGCAACACATTCATACTTTCCTTGGTCCGCTTCTTGGCTGTTGCTCACCTGGAGGCTTCCTGAAAAACACGATTTATTTTTTGTTTAACTCCACTTCTATGAAGAAATTGTAATTCTTTTTCTTAACAACAAAAATGAAAACCAATTTTTATAAGGCGATTTATTTATTTTTTCCTGGTAAATATCAAGTTTCAATTGTACGATGAAGCCATTTTATTTTGTAATCTGCTTTTCTTGTACAAATTATTCTCTAGCTTTGCAAATTGGAAAAAAAAATTACTCAATCCTGCTCTCCAGTTTCTTTCCTCAAGGCAGAGTTCGTAGACAGTTTTATCGACCGCTCTCTACGCACTCCTTCTTTTTGTTGTACGCGCATTTATGCATTTGCAGAGAGGTAGAAATGAAATCGCCTCTAACCTGTCATCTACTCAACGTGCCACTCCATAAAATGACAACGCCGGGGAATTCAATTTGCAAGTACAAAACGCGTAAATCGAATGCGCGAGAAGCTTCACATTGTTTCAGTCACGTGTCACTTTAAATAATTTTTCTATTCGCTCAGAATCGCGACTATTCGATTAAAAATTTTTGAATTAGCTTGTGTTTCCAAACGTCAAAAATCAATACTTCGGACATATTAATCCGTTCCGGCTTTACTTATGCAACGCGCCAAACACGTTGTACGCAATTTGGGGAAAACAGACGCTCGCCAATTTTGACGTTTATCCGGGTCGCCAAATTTTGTCAGGAAATGGAGAAACCAAAATGTGTCAGATTATGTTTCAATAAAAATAATTGTCTTCATTAGATTTTTACTTTACACATTCTTTAATAAATTTTTATTATTGCATAGCTTCATGTTATTACACACCAATTTTTTTTGTAACCAAATATTTCTCTTTCGTACAAAAAAATGAACTATCAAATTTTTAGGACTGCAATGATCTTTTTGATCTCGGAAGTTTTTGTTGTTAAATCTTTGCTATTGATGGTGCCGTTTTGTAAACAAAAATTAATTTTCTCCTTCAATTTCATTGTTTTAGAAATTGTGGAAAAAAATAAAATGAATTAAGTTTCAGACATTCAAGCTTTTGTGACAAAATGAGGGCCCCCGTTAATTTCCTAACTCATCGAATTGTTTCCATCACGCCGAATATGGAACCGGCACAATCAATTAGTTGACGCTTCTAGGAAACAATAATCCCGGCGAGCGCACATTCAATTACTTGTCGGCGAAAATTATCACGGCCGTCACCACCGCACAGTTTGGCGTGTTTTCTCCCTGTCTAGTTTTTGGCAGACAATATAACGACGTTATCATCTTCTCTGTGTGTGGAGCGGTGGCGTGTCTTCGCTGCATATTTCTCGGCGACAGCGGGCGCCTCGAACTTTAAGTGCGCTGTGTACTTGGCGTAATAAGTTTTAGTGGCTAATTTCGTTACCCATATTATGGGCGTGCAACGCGACACACAATGAGCCCCACAACGAACTTTCTTCTTCGACGTGACACCCGTTGGAGAGGCCCTGAGAGCATGCATGAAAGTATTTCGAATATTTTAAGCTACTCTTAGCACATATATTACTAGATCAGAAGAAAGTGATTACGCAGCTCTCAATATTTTTTAAACGTAAAAATGAAAATTAATTTATCCTTTTTATTTTATAATTAAACGAAAGTTATAATGCTTTTCCATTAAACTTAAGTGTTTTTAAATATTGATTAATCAAATTGTAAAAAGCGTTACATAACTCATGGTAGGATTCATAATCAGAACCAGATAATAAGATGCTATTTTTTTATATAAGATATAATTTATCTGCTGCTGCAGATATATAAAGCATATTTTTTAACATTGTATCAGTTTCATAACTTACACAAAAGAATTACAGCAATAAATTGTGAGCAGTCAAATAAAGATTATCATGGTTTGCCTTGTACTCAATATATTAAAATTTTTTTAATGAACAAGTATCCTTGCACGTTGATATGGGCATCGTTAAAATTTTAATAACTGTAATTAATGTAAAAAAATTTAATTCTAAAAATAATTTAATACAAATATAAAAAATGAAATAAAAATGTTAGTATTGCTCAGTTTTGTGCTTAAAATTAATTTTATATTGTATAAAAATAATGTAATATTAAAGGTTTATGTTTAAATCTTAAAGTTTTAATTTAAAATACATATGTACAATATTTAATTATAAATTGCAATTTTTGTCTTTCACGTTCTATCTTCAGGAGTTCAAAAGTAATAACGCAAATATTTTCAATTACCTTTCAATTCCCTTGTCCTGCAAACCCGTGAGTTATGAGCAAAATTGTTAAAATATATCGCTGGCTATAACATAAAAGATAAGCCGCTGGAAGAATTACGTTGAAATTGGATTTGAATTTGTTGATAATTAAAATCGCTCTTTCTCTCGCCGGGGAACCTTTTCCGACTTTATCAATTACATCACGCGTCACGAGCAAAGCCTGCGAGATTTTGCTCTCAAGTTTGCTGCGCGCCTTCGCTATTTTGAATAATAATTCCCAGGGACCTGTTCTCTCCCCATTAGCTCCAAACAAGTGGTGAATAATGAATTGCCAAGCGGCGGCAGCTCAGGTGGCCTACGAGCGAGACGTAAACCCACGTCAGCAGACATGCACAGCGTACAGAGTTGTGTATGCTTGCTTATTTCTTGAGAGGGTTCAAGATTATTTTTATTTTTAAATAATTTGTTTTCCAACTCACATTACCCGGAAGGAAAACAATCAACGATTCAATACAACAGCTTTGCCAATTACTGCAAATGTAAAAAAAAATGAAGTTATTTTTTATGAAATTTAAAAATTTTATAAATGGATATGTGGGCATTCAACAAAAATTGCATGAATTGAATGATATGGGCTTATTTAAAAAATTGCATAAATTTATGGTGAAAAAATTTCCACAATAACAAGCCCACAATAAAATATGAATTGGTAATCGTCATTTTGCCACTTTCACCTGCGACATGTTTAAATAAAATATCATTTTATTTAAAAAATCTTACATATTATATTGAATCTTACAAGTAGTTAGAAATTAAAATAAAAGAACGATAACTTTCTTGGAGAGCAGCGCGTTTGCTCATGGAATAGTTTTGCAGATTGTGATCGAAACCAGTGTAGTTGTTTGTGATTTTGAATGAAAACAAAATTTTCAACGGCCGTCAATGCTAACTTTGTCATAACTGGACTTTTTCAAAAGAAATTTTAAAGTGGATTCAGAAACTGAGCGAGAAATCCAATGCAAGCAAATTCAAATGTCCAAATTTCAACTTCTAATCGGAAATCTAAATTCTTTTTCAAAACAGATTAAAATTTGTTACTAATATAAATAATTTTTCCACTTAAAACTCTAAAATTAAGACAAACTGATGTAAAACGTAAGGTCATTTTTTATTTATCTACAAAGTTTATTTGGGTAAAAATTACCAAAAGATAATTAATATTAATTTTTTTGCACACACACAAAACCATTTGCTGTATATGAAGAAAGATTCCCAAAATAATAATAAAATAATAATTAATTAGTTATGGGACTGTTTCTTCATTTAAAGCAAAAATGCTCTTATTTAATGAAAATATCAGTAAGTGGAAAAAAGATTGTCACATTTTTCTTGAATTAAAATGAAATGAAACATACCGAAAAGAATTTTAGATGCATATACAAATAACAACAACATTCAGCAAATTTATCAGGATTAAATTTTATGGAGAAAAAAACACTCCTGAGACCTATCAATATTTTATAGTCATTCAGCTTCCGTTTCTCTCTTTCACTTTAAAATTTTTGATAATTTGGATTGACTAATGTTGATGGATTAATAATGGCAAGTAAATCTGCTCGGTTCGCTTTAAGCCCGTCGTTTGGAAAGGTGTGTGGCGGGTCGGTTTTGGGATATGTATGTGCATATTTATTTGCACGTTGCCTTCTGCGTACACCCACATGCGTGTTTGTGTGGGAGGATTAGAAGGTCTACTGACAATTTATATCGCACACATATCCGCGCGGCGTGACACATAATAACGCAACACCTCTCGCCCCGGGCGCCTACTTTATTATTAGCAACACCTGAGCCACTGCACTTTGCAGGCCCGGTTAATAATAATTCTCTCTCGACTAAATAGCCGCGACGCAAAAACTCCCTCGTGCATAATCGCGTTTAAATCGTCCGGTCTAATTAATCGTCGCCGCTTTTTGCGCCGGCAATTCATTAGGCGGCTCGCACATGCGAAGGCGGCGTTATTATAATGATTATGCGCGGCCGAGCTGCGCTCGAGTAAATTTAATCGGTCGGGTTAATTATATACACGGCCGCCGGAATTATTCATAAAGGCCGAGATATGCATTTTGCATTAGTGAATAATTCACCTTTCCGAATCAATTGCCGGTGTGATTGCGAATAATTTGCAGTGCGCCAAAGCGGCCTATGCTCGGCTCTCCCCCGTGGCCGTGTAATAATATTTTGCGGATGTATAAATTGTTGCGGTGCAGGCACGCGTAATAAATCTGCTGGAATAGCGAGCGGGTTTCGCTTTGACGAGCAGATTTAATTGGTTTGCTTTGCCGAAATATGTATTGGGAAGCGATCGGGCTCTGCGCCAGGTGTGCAGAGGATGTATTTTTGTATAATATGCGTATGGCCTATCAAAATGTAAATGTTAAATAACTGAAGCAGACCCGAACGTGAAATATTAAATCCCTGCAGTATGCTTTTGATAAAAAGTAGAGTTTTAAAAATACATATTTCCAGCAAGACGGATCATAATAACAGTCAAATAAAATTATAATTGAATCAGGAACCATTTAAACTTGTGATTAGCTCATTTTTGTCTCTACAACTTGTGTTTATTGGTGCATTTGTTTCATTGAAAAAAAGGAATAAAAGTATGATTTAAAAAAAAAATTAAATGGAAAATTAAATTTATAGAACTGAGTGGAGTTTAAAATAAAATGAATTCTTTGGGACAAATGTTTTTGTTCAAAAAGCTGCAGGCTGTAAGATGATTTTTAGAGTAAAATACGACAATTTTTATAAAAATTACTAATTGTCATCAAACTTTATTTTTCTGATTGCCACGTAAAAAAAAAAAAAAAAAAAATTATGGTGACCCTAATGAAGGTGATAATTTTAGTTAGGTTGAAGCTGAACTACAAACAAACATTATTTTATTATTAAATTATTATTATTATCATGAAACTATAACTATTAAATTTCTTAAAATATGATTTACTATGCATGTATATGAAAAAATTTTAATCATTTTTTTTTAACCACGCTAAAAATTCAATCGCATTTGTAAGAAAATATATAAAATCATTTTTTTTTAATTATCCGGGCCGCTATTTAAATGCAAAGAAATATATATAAAAAAAAAACAAAATTGATGTAATATTTGAACTTTTTTTATTTAAAACATTTTTCGATGGCCACTGCACTCTTCAACCGAATGGAATCGCAATTAAACAAGCACTAAACCAACCCTCGACTGAAACACTCTTGACATTTTTTTTGCGCCGAGCTCGTGCAATTTCGAGAGCGGAATGTTTGGGCGGGACGAGCGCGATATTTCGCCATCACAAATGACACATTTTAAGTGTCCGGCTGATAGTTGGGCCGTCGCAAAAATGGATAAACACGGTGCAGGCCGCCGATTTTGTCTGTCGGGGGCCATTCATCAATAGAACGAGCTGTCACGGGCAAAATGTATGCACTCGAACAAAGAGACCCCATTTCACAACCAGAGCGGATTTTGCGCTTCATTAGCGAGCGAAATTCTGCATAAAAGAGGACAAAACATTTTGATAATTCCATCTTTTTTTTTGCCGAGAACAAGCAGCATATTAGGCAAAAAAATCAATCGTCTAGTTGGAAGAAAAAGAAGGAAAGAAAGACGAAGGAAGAAAACAGAGAGAGTTGGAGAGAAGCAGATGGAGCACCACTTCGCCTCTCGTAATGCCACGGAAAACTTTTGCTCCACATCTTTCTCTGCGCTGATTATTATGAGAGACATAAAACAAATCCAATAGCGATCATCTCTCTTTCTCCTTTTTCTTATTTGATCTGCGCTCATTATTTCCACCGAGGGGATTTTTGCACATGGATCAACCTGTGAATTGAACCTGCCTGCTTTGTCTTTTTTTGCAAAAATGGAGGGCTTCAGAATAATTTGGCCTTGTCGTCAAAGCCGTAAAAAAACTTTAACTATATAATATACATAATATACATTTTTTATGGGCTTTGAAAGAAGTTGCAAGAAGCGAAAAACAGCAGCAAACTACATCATTAGTACGGTGAGTGGCTGCAAGTTTTGTTTGAGTTAGTTTAGGGTGATTAAAATTAATATAATGAGTGCTATACTTTGCTGAATTTCATGGACCTGTAAATTATTGATCCTTTGGAATTTATAAGATCATTCTTGTAAATACATATTGAAAAAAATTAATTGGGCCATAAATGGCCTGGTGTTACAGTTTTTTTTTTTAATAAATTCATACCGTTAATTAATGCGAATCTGGAATATTGTGTAATTCTTAATAAAAATATAAGCGATGATGAAAGTGATTATATTTTATGATAATAGAATGTACGTAACTGAAATTAGTCGACTATGGAACTGTCTTTTAATTCCTGAATCCGATTGAAAACAAAAGTCATCGTTATGTATATAAAAAATACTCGAACTCAGGAAAGAAAGACACTATTGATTGAACATGAAAAAATCTCACTATTTGCATTCTCGTCAGCGAAATTAATTAAATGTGGATTGCTATTAGCAAATAAACTAAAGGAAAAAAGAAGCAGTTGGCATTTAATATCGAGAGCAAGCGCGTTCGGATTTCTCAAATTATTACAGAGCCTAAGCAAAAGCATCACTTTCTGCGAGGCAGGGAAAAGTTTTATAAGCACCAGAGAGGGCAGTTTGATATTCGCGCCGGGAAAGTCATCATTTTATGCAAATAGCCTCGAAAGTAAAATAAAACCAAACTCTCTTACCAATGCAGCCGTTCTCTTCTTCTCTCGGCTCGAAATGCAATTAATAATCGACTGAGGAAACGTGTATGTATTTCTCAAGAAGTTTGAAATAGTATTACGTGCAAAAGCGCCTTTTACTTTTCTCAACTCTACGTATTCGTACGTAGAGATGTAAAATATTTACTTTTGGCTCTAATTCCGCAGCGAGAGTTTAATAATTTTATTCATAAAGCGAATAAAGTGCTGTTTTTTATGCCCTTTTCTGCCTCTTTTTCTTCTCTTCCTGCTTTTAATATGCGCATGCATAACACAGAAGGTGAGCGCAGCTCACGTAAAAAAAGTGCGGCGGGTATTTATGAGCAGGGCAGCCCTGGGAATGGCAAGAAATATTACCGTGCAGATTTGCGAATTCGCTCTTTCGTCTCGTGTCGCGACCACCGCGCGCATAAAAAGCAGCAAAAGGGATGGGTGGGTCATTTCTCTTTAACGACCTGCGCCGAATTGGACACTGAAGCTGCACGTTAAATTTAGTTCCTCAATTATTGAAATTTGACTTTAGAGCTTCAATGACATTCAGGATTAAAATGCAGTTGCGATTCAAATACTTTTTCTACTTTATAATATTGCATATACATTAATTTTAAATTTACACATATCATGAATTTGCTAATCACGGACTATGGAACGCACTACCACGAAATCTTAAAAATCTAGAGGCGAAAGTTAATGTTCAATTTCGCATTTTTGTCGCAATTATAAAAATCTACACGCTCTTATTACTGTATATATATTTCTTTTACTGATCAATTTGCGTGTAAAAATATTTTATGTTAAAACTGGAGCGCTTGGCTCATCAGTCGCTTAAGGAAGGGCCTATAATTCAGTTTGGAGTTGGCATGACATGTAATATAATTCAAACACCATTACCAAAAAAATTACTCCAAAATGAGTAAATGTTCATCTTAATTAATGTAAGTGTTAAATTTGAGAATCTATATATTTGATAATTACTAATTAGTTCTTTGAATGAATTATAAAATTCCTAGATAACCGCTGAATAGATTATTTAAAAATAATAATAGATAATAAAAAAATAGCATTATTTACAAATAATTAAATATTTTACCTTATTCTCTTAATATAAAAATATTTTACATAAAAAACCATAATAAAATTAAGTTTGTAATTAAAAGTAAAGCTTTAAAAACATTGATTTTTAATCTGTTTTACCTTTTTCATCACAAGTAATTTTGATTTTAAAATTATTTAAACACATCAAATCCACATACCCGGAAAAACCCGATTATTTGACAGTTGCAATTTTGTACACTATGACGAATGAATGTAGGAAGTCAATGAAGAGCCTGAAACTAACTGCTTAGCTAGGCTTTTGGATCGCCCAGATAATTTCCAATTTCCAGAAAGAATGAAATTATCACTTTTCCCAACAATTGCAAAAATATAATGAATTTGTGTATAATTTTAATTTTAAAACTGACGTCTGTTTACTCATTACAGTCATTTCAAATTCAAACCGTTTCAAGCAAGCAGCTACTCAAATTTTAATTATTTAAAATACAAGATATACCTTAATTCACTAATATGTATAATATGTACCGCATATGCACAATGTACATTAAAAGAAAAAATAAATAGATAAAAAATTTAATATAATTTTCATATTATAATATTTAATTTTAAGCTTACCTTGCGGCAAAATGGTGAACCTTTGATCGGCCATGTCAATGGGAACGAAATCCTTCATCCAGTAGACCCTGGGTTCAGGGTCACCACCGACCTCGCACTGCAGCACCGCCGTGTGTCCGACTTCCACGACCTTAGTTGTCGGCGCTTGGATGATTCTCGGAAAGCCGTCGGGCGCTTTTTCAACTGCGAACAAAAAAATAATAAAGTATAAATTTCATGAATATTTACGCCTGTCCGGCCGAGAGAGGCATATTTCACACACACACGTGTAATTTCATATAGGAGTAAAAAATTGAGGCCCGAAACGGCGAAATAAATGCGCTGTCTTGCGCGTATTAGGAGCGCATATTGGATTTCGGCTGCGGAAAATAAATCTATTCGCAAATCCGGGCGTACAAAATGATTCATTGCAGCTGTTGCCGGTACGGGAAACATACTTTTGCAGAGGCAAAAAGTGGCCGGTGCGGCGGAGAAAGGTTACTTCTCTCGGTGCACATGTTCCACTTGGCGCGCGCTGCCGCCAGGGAAATCAACAGAGACTAAAGAAACCGTCATCTCAAATAATAATCACGGCACAATTGCACGTCTCTCTACTTTGCCGCGCGTCCGAGAGTGTGCAGCTCATTTTGTGCTCTATGTGCAAAAACTTTGCGGGAAAAAGTCGTTTGACTTTTATGACTGTTGCACCAACAGCCACAAAGAACGAGACGCAATCAGCCTCTGAGGATTGAGTCGGGAGTGAGACAAATCATTCCAAGATATGGATTGAGTGAAATTTTGAATTATAATGTTGAGAAAAAAAATTATCTGCACAATTTTTTCCAAAATTGAATTAGTTTTATTGCAAGAAACAAAAACTACAAAGGATATTTTTTAGTAGATTAGCATGATTTGAATTTTTTATTATTATATTTTTGTTTCTAAAAAAATACAAAAAAAAAAAAAAATTGAAGGAACAGGGAAAAATTCTAATTTTAGAAAGAAAGGTATTAAGATTTTCCTTAAAATTAAATATTCTGAAATAAAGTGCTGTATGGACTGAAGGACGATTCAAAGGTAAAGTATAATATAAATTGGATTGAAAAAAGGGAATTAAAAATTGATATTGCACCTTACAGTTTTCTTCTAAAAATATGCCGGCAAAAATTTGATTCTAATTAAAAAAAAATTAAATTTTGTTAAGTCCGCCATTAAATAAACAAAACAGGCTACATTTAAGAATGAAATTTAACAAACGTAATTAACAACGTCCCAAGTATTTATTTTAAAAGTGATTTTACTGCTCAGAGTTTTTTTTATTGTTGTAAAATTGTGTGAAAGAAAGTAAAGAAAAGTCGTAATTTAATGTAATTTAATTTTCCTTAGAGTTATAAAATTATAAATTTTAGAAGTTGCTCCTAGTATTTACTAGGGGCGAAAATGTACTTGCGAGTTTTTAAGAAATTAAGAAGACACCAGAAGTTTTGCATAAACTTTTAGAATTTATAATTCACTAAAGCTTGTACCAACAAGACAGTCGAGCCAGTTAAAAACAAAATTTTGTCGTAATTTTACACCGCGTAAACTTCTTTTTCGGAGAGGCAAAAATGAAATTTACGGCCGCGTGTCATTTTTTGCTGCGAAAAGTTAAAAGCATCACGCGGCGGAAAAGTGCTTACATATTGTTTCCCGGACGTGAAAGTGCAGTGTCATGCCGGTGGGGCAGCAAATTGATTCTGCAACAGGGCGAATTTGCGAGTGAAAAGCTGCGGGAAAAATCGCCCTTTCCATAAAACGGACGGACAAAGCCATTATTTGTCTGTGCGTGTGTGTTTGTGTGTCGATGATTGTGTTTTGATACGGCCAGCAAGCGTGCTGTTGCCTTTGGCCTGATAAATAATTCATCGGGCGACGCTCACACATACACACACGGGCACTCTCTTTTTCCTTCAACTGTTGATGGCGAATGACACACATAAATATCGCGCAGAGGCTGCGGTCTGGGGACCCATGCAAAGCCTCCCGACTGAATATGTATTGGATTATATACGAAAACATAAACAACCGCCGAGGAGGTTCGTCTCGTTGCGGTCGACGGCCGGGCTGCGCGCATAAATTTGTTTATGCCCCACGCGGCCCCTGTTTAATTTGCCTAAAAGAGGATTCGTGTCTGCGCGTCGCTTCTCGCAGGATTAGCCGCGCGCAATCGTCGACGTCTGCATAATCCGCTTGTTCGGGATAATTGAACGCGCGTGGTGTGCACCCTGTCGATGACAAAGTTTCAAATCTTTCATAACAGAAAAAAGTCAAAAGAGATATTTGTAAACTGAAACATAGAGTGCTTATTTTTCATACCAATTTGCTTATATGATTTAAATTTTTTTTAAATAATCAAACATAATTTTAATTTCTTTTTTCAACCACTAATTTAGGAAACAACTAATGAACAACAAAGTGCACAAGGAAGCAAAAGTTCAATAATTATAAAGTATGGATATTCAAATTATTGTATTATTAATGCACCTTTTTTTATTACATGAGATTAAAAAATATATATGCCTTTTGTTTAGGCTATTAAATTTAAGTTGGTTTTTCCACTAAAAAAAAAAAAAAAAATGCATTTTAAGTATCCTGCGACTTATCAATTCCATGATAAGTTGCACAACCCCAATGTATCCCTATTTTTGTTTTACAATCATGAAATTTGAAATTAAATTACTTTTGAATATAAAAATCTGCTATAAACTTCTATTGACTAAAATTTGAGATAGGGAGCAATTTCAAAACTGAATATAAAATAATGTATTGCAATGCCTTTAAGTCAAAAACATCCTTGAATCAAAATTTTCCAACTAATCTCAGTTAATTTGACATTTTATTATTGACTTTTAACTTCGGAAATTGTTTGAAAATTTCCTTTCATTTCTCAAATTTCTTTACCCTGTCTTGATGTTTGTAAGAAACGCAATTATTAATCAACCCTTTAATGCCGCACTTTAAGTCGGTTCCGGCGGTGGTTTAGTCGACAAAAGCACCCCACTCGCATTTGAGGCCATCATCATCATTATTATTGCGCACTCGCCATTATTTGGTACATTGGTGATGCAACCGAGCAGCAAATATACACTTTGCCGCAGCAAGAGTGTCGCCGCTCCTGCATTACAGCCTCTCTCTCTCTCTCTCTCTCACGTATGCTTTTCTCTCTGCAGCTCGCACAGAGATTTACAGCTCTTATATCATCCCTGGGTTTCCTCCCTTGAGGACGTGCGCTGGGGTGTAAAGAAGTGCTGGGTAATGCGGCCGGGCCACTATACGTGTGTGTGTGTATTCCCAGTAGTGGCGACGCCCATCTGTACTAATTACTCTTAATTATTCACCCTAGCTGCGCTGCCAACGTTGTTGCATTTTTCTAGCCCAAGAGTTTATTATGTGCAACGTGCACGCTTTGCTTTTCGCCGCCTCGACGGAGCGCCGAGGTCTCAATTTGCTGAATGCATTTCGTTCCAGGTGGAAAACTTTTTTTAATTTAAAGAGCAAAATTACACGTTGAATTTTTTAACTTTAACGAGGGAGAAAGATGGGTACAAGATAATCGTTTTTAATAAAAATTGATGCGGTTTTTTTTATTATAATAGTTCAAATTGATCAAAATAATTATGAAATTTCACTCTTGAAATGGTGCAAAGTAAAAATGATTTATTAACTATACAAAAAAAAAAAACATAATAAATTGTCAGCAATTTTATTCTACCTAATTTTATTTTAAAGATAATTTTTCTATTTTAAGAAAAATTATCTTTTGTTAATTTTATTCTTTATAAGAATATTTTGAAAATTATTTCATAAACATAGTCAAAATAAACAATGTAAAGAAAATATTTTTGTTAGTTAATCATAGCTAATACAATAAATAATGAATGTCAGTTACGATGGAAATTTCATAATAATGATGCTAGTGGTAGAGATTTTTTGAAAAAGCAAGTTGCTGATTTAAACACTTACGAATTATAATGAATTAGAGAAGAACAAAAGTTAATCTCTAATTACAAATGCCACTTAAAATTCTGAATGCAGGGCATTATAAATTTCCATTCATTCTTTTTCAGCGCCATTGAAGAAGAAAGTAAAGATTTGATTGATCGGTCCACAACACAAACACGAGACACTACCCATAGCACTCTACACAAAAGAATTCTTCAGAAACAAAATAGACACACGCACACTTAAACACAAACTTTACCAATATAGTTACGTAATTAACAATTTGAAAAGAAAATAATAGCTCGATCCATCAAGGAATAATTTTTCAGTGTATTTATCCCTTTTTCTCTTTCTCAAAGTTCGCATTGATTCTACATCAAATTTCCATATTTCTGGCGGATCAAATAATTGCATTATATTCCGTCCGCAATCCCCAAGGTTGCATTCAAATCCCTCCTACTTACGGCGTCTCTCACTTTCGTTTCGCGCGGCAAAGTGAAAAAGTCGGCCGAAATGAAAACAAATGGGCGGGTGTGCTTTCAATTTTAAATAGATTTATGGCTGCTCAGAAAAACCGCACACATCTCGGTCTTTATCTCTGCGGGCTGTTTTTGTTTTAAAAAATAAAGAGAGAAGGAAAAAGCTCTTTTTTTCTCCTGCATAAAAAAATAATGCCGCGCGCGCTCATATTTCAATTTAAAGAGAGGTCGGATGTGTTCCGCAGAAAAATCTGCTTTTGTTCCTTGAGTGAGGGAAGCGTCAAGGGCCGTTTACTGCCACGCAAGATGACAAAATGCGCGCGGCTTTTAAGACGCGCAGGCATCCACCGTGTCGTCTTCATTAACTGATATTATATAAAAGAGAAGAAGTTGGTTAATGGCGCGGCTTTGCCAGCGAGCGAGGCGCATAAAACCTTTTATTTATGATCAAAAATTAACATTAAAAGCTTTTATATTAAAAGTAATTTTCGGCACTCACTCTCTAGCTCTTTCTCATCCGCGCCCTAATTTCATTATGCAGAAATTGAGTTTTCCTTCTCCGCCGGCAGTGACGCCGTCGTGTCGTAAATTTAAGGCAATATCAATCCGCGTGGGGGTATTTTTTAGAGAGGCTTAGAGCTGCGGAGGGGGCTTGCGTGTGAAAAGTCTGAGTAATGACGTGAGCAGAATAATGAAATAAACCAAAGCTTACGCCTCTCAATAACGTTATTTTAATATTTTTGG